CATTGCCGGGATTTATGAAGAATTTTTGCTGCGTGATGAGCTTCGATACCTGGGCCCTGTCTTTGCATTCTATCCATTATGCGCCGGACTGTCCCTTCTTTCTAGCTCTCGCTATTCCCACCTGCAGGGTTCCGCCGAACATGAATTAACAGTCATGAAACTCTCCCTTCAAAAGCTATCCGAAAGGTGGCTCTCGGCGGTTGGACCGTTGCGCGCACTGAACAAATTGACCGACAAAGTCCGAGAGCTCGGTCCCTTTGGCGGTTCATCGCCTACTCTCGGCCCGGACGCAGCCTCTTTCTTTGAGGGGTTCGACACAAGACTCTGCAAACAATGGCAGATCATTGGAGACTCCTCAGAGCCTACAAGTGGGAACACAGGTATCTCGCCTACTTGCACTATGGCGGACATCCAAACCCCTGATGCTGCCCTTCCTTCCCTAGATGCTCCTCCGGGACAACAGGTGGATGCTTACGACTTTGCCTCTCTTGATGTTAGCTTAGATCCATTCAGCAATAACTGGGAAGGTGCTGGATTTGACTGGAGTGGTTCCTGGCTACTGAATGTATGAAATTAAAAGAGCTTGAGAATCGGTGTTACAAAAAGGGTCCTCGGTCTCGGTCCATGTCTAATTGATATGTTCATGGCTTCCATACCGTGCGTCCTCCCTACGCGCTGGGCTACTGTGCATCCCACCACGGAACCTGAGACCATTGGGCGAGATGGAGTGAGCTCCCGCATGGACACTCCCTGTCCAGGCCTCAAAGTGTACCCTGCTCCTGGTGACCGACGCAGCATACATAAACAAGCTCGAGGCTCGAGATAAAGGCTTCACTGCTGACTTCACCTTTTCCCAGGGCATATTACCAGTCAGAAGATTATTTGTCCTATGACATTGAGGAAGGCCCAGCTCAAGTGCACTGTTCCTGTGTGACGTTGAGTCACAAATGCCGTCAACATAGGTCCAGTCTTTTCTGCGACAGTACCCAAGATATGGCCAAGCTGCCTAGTTGGGATCGTAGGAACTCGATTCCCCTTTTCTTTGAAGGCTCTCTATATGGAATGTACTAATGGTTCGGCCCTGCTGCAATGAAAGGCATGCCGTCTTTGAATTGCTGGTCTCTGAGATAGGAGAGGTTGGAAGATCGTAAGTCCTTGAATGATTGAGATGCCGTGTCTTTAAAACACAAGCGAGGACTCATAAGGAAGTTTGTCGAGTCATCTCTTTCAAACATGTCATAGAGCAAATAGGAGAAATTTACATGAGTATCCCACAATACATCCTCTCTAGTAAGACCAGGGCCCAGATTGACCCACCTTGTCGTTATCACAGATATTTTGGAGTCGAATTCCCCAATCTCAATCTGGGAATCTGTATTGCACATATTCCTGTCCCATTTCCTTATCCCGAGGTACAAGGCAAATAACACATGTGAGTTTAGTTTGACCGTCTATAGCTTACTCCTATTGACCTTTTGCACCTCAATATCACAATACTGCCTGAAGTGATCCAGACACCTGGGATTCGCAACGGTACTGCTGATAGTATTGGGGAGCTGGCCAGACGAAATGACCTGTTTTACCAATGTCTCAATCTTTTTGCCATTCACCGTCATAGGGAACTCTTTGACCCCGATCACGAAGCGAGGAACGTGCTTACTGCTCAAGCCTTTGCGAATTGCATCCTTGAGCTGCACAGCAAGTTGGGCCGTGAACGGCTTTCCGGACTGCATGACAACGAACAAAAACACAACTTCATCAGAGTCATGAGGTCGTCGACGACCGACACAGAGAGTGGCTGAGATGATCGAGTTGAAAGGAGCCGATTCCGCGATCGAGTATATGTCTGACGACCCGAAACGAATACCCTGTGGATTCAGGACACCATCGCTATCAACTTCCAGTCAGCACGCAGTTCCTTAAAGTTATACCGGCAGGGAAATGCAACTTACCTCCTTCCATGAATCTGCCAACCTTTAGTTTGTGGGTTATAACTCGCCCAATCGTGCTGAGCCCAACAATTTTCAAATTTCTCGAAATACGCGCTCTTGTATTTCGATCCATCTTCATCACCCCAGAAAAAGACCGGCATCGATGGGAATGGTTTGCGACAGACAAATTCGCCATTCCTCCCAGTGGTCTTGATGGAATCTCCCGTGGCAGGATCGGCAATGTCCACATCGTGTCCAAGCATAGGAAGCTGGATCTCTCCGGGATACAGCGGACCTGCAGGGTCAGTCCCAATCCAGGAAGTCGCCAAGTCCGTTGCGCCTGTTACACTGGTGAGGTGAACACTCGAGGGGAATGTGCGGTAGAACCAGTGATATTGGTCTTCACCTAGATGAGAACCACCCGTCTGCACCATTCTGAGGGACGAGAGGTCGAACTCGTTCTTTGGGATGCAGCCGGTCATCTCGAGCTCCTGCAGATAGCGAGGAGAACAGCCCCAGTATGAGATTCTATGGTACTCCACGATCTTTGCCAGTTCTTTGGCACTGGGCCACAATGGAGATCCGTCGTAAAGAATCAGAGTCGGGCCTACGGAGAAGTGGCCAACCATGATATTCCACAATACCCATGAGGTACTGCTGTACTGGAAAACAACATCGTCGGATGTCAAAGAGTTATGCAGTATGGATGTCTTCTTGTGCTGCAGAATAACACCATGGCTGTGCACCAGGCACTTCGGTTGTCCGGTGGTTCCGCTAGTGTATAGGATGTAGAGTGGATGAGAAAAAGACACTCTCTTGAACTCTAGCTTGTCCTCATCCCTCGACATCGCCAAGAATTGATCGAGACCGGGAAATACCGGCTCATGGGCACCGGTGATAGGAATTAAAAATACATGTGGCTTTGAGCGCAATGCCTTCACGACGCTCTGGATCTTAACAACGTTCGATCGCATTTTCCCTTTGTATGTGGACTCGCCATCTGCAAAGAGAATTCGTGGAGCAACTTGTTGCAATCGTGACACACAGCCCTAGTATTTCCAATCAGTCTCTGTTATCAACGGCGATTTCCATTCCTTCAAAACATACCTCTTCGCCCAAATCCGGTGCAATACTAGTCCAGATCGCGCCGATACTCGCAGTCGCCAGGAACATACCAACTGACCAGACGCTATTTGAGATGATAGCAGCAACCCGATCTCCTTCCTTAACACCGAGCTGGAGCAAAGCACTCCTTGCCTTTCTGACATTCTCCCGCAACAATCCCCATGTCCACACCTCCCCATTTAGGTCCTGGCCCTCTCGAACTCCAACAAGAGCTGTCTTCTTCAAGTTCCGACCAGAAACAACATTTTCCGCGTAGTTGACAGTTGCTCCAGGGAAGAATTTGGGAATCTCGTCCATTGGTGTCGTAGGATCAAATGCGGATGTTGCAGCCGGAGGCAATGGTGGGATGATTCCCGTATAGCCATGGAGGTCTATCCAGAAATCTTGTAGATTTTCAACGGACCATTGATGCAGATCGTGAGAGGAGCGAAGCTGCTGATTGAATTTCTTGTTGATGTGCTCACGATAGATGTTCATGGGTATTTTGTCTTGGGGCATGGTAGGCTCCCAGATGGGACGAGGCCTGAGAGCGTCATTCTTCGTAGGGTTTGTCATATCTTGGTTATTTCTTTAGTGCCAATTGTTGCATAGAAGTGGGATCGATTGAATGTAAAATTATTTATAGGGAGAGATAGAGACACGAAGCCGCTTTCGATAAACACATAAATAGTCCTTCGGTAGTCGGCACCCGGCCTTTGAATCCCGGCATAGATAATCTCATTCGGGTATACATTCAAACCCCCATGATGCTGTAGGTTCTTTCGGTATTTTTCGGTGGAAACCGGTGATACATGATACCTTTCATATGGTTAATGCTGCTCGACTATGACAGGTTTTTCGGTCCATCGCGTCAACATATGTACAGGCTCTTATAAGCAGGAGATTATTTCTCCATGTTAAATAGTTTTCTGAACTCGATGTATGCCCTACTCTAAAACACCTATTGTATCTAAATTGCTCGCATATCATATAGAGAAAGCCTAGCGCTACTATAAAAACCACTTCATTGTTATCTTTCTATCGGCCTAATTAACCCTGCCGTTCTCAACTAATGTAACCGCCAAACCCCCGCGAAGCTCAAGGATGATACGACCAATTCGAGGCTTTATTTTGTGGAGTAATTGCATTCACTTTATTATTCTTCATGCTAGGGGATCTATATTTCTAACTGGTCGAACTGGTAGAAGTGATATGAATCAATTAGTACATAGTGAAATGGATAGTAGCAGATCATGTTGAACCCTTCACTTTGGCAATACTTTAAAATTCGATCCTCAGACCTTGGGTCCGCTACCTAGTTCACATGCTCATGGTCTCCGTGCCGTGCATCCGCCCTGTGCCCTGAGCTAATGTGCATCCCACTATGAAACCTGAGACCGCTGGGTGACGAGTGAGCCCCGCTGATCCGATTTTCTCTTCTTCTATCGGGCCTCTAGTCTTGTTGCCAGACCATAGAGCTCCACGTACCCAGCCTTGGCCGCAACGTGCGCCCTGAGCTCGGAAAGCTCAAGACCTCTATCCAAGGCCGTCTGCTGATACTGCTTGAGTTGTACGCGCAAAGGCAATTGATCATTGATAAATGTGACTGCTGCTCGGTCTTGCCTGTGAAAGTTGAAGGGGAGATGGGAGAGGGAGGAGGAAAGAAAAATGGTTGAATGGCCCAGTAAAGGTTTTATATAAGCCAGAGATCTGACCTCATCAGTACATTAGATAGTCCTTTTGGTGGACCTTCCACACGTCTTTTTATATGTCTTTTTAAATAACTTTCTTACATATTGTCTCGTCCTTCTCGATTTTATGACTACACAGATGACAGAAAAAGACTGCAAAGGGGTGAAATCGTATAGAGGAGTTGGCTATGTACAACGAGGAGTGTACCTGACTATTCCAGATACCAGCTAATACCGCACGCTATATATGGCAATAAATCCATGCTTGGATTGCTCAAAGCTTCGGGCTTGCCTTTTGCAAGGACCGGTGACCAGTTGCACGGTTCTCCGGGAGGTCGACTCCCCAGGCAATACGGCAGTCCCATTGCAGATGTTCCTCGCCTCCAGAGACAGCACTAGTAGTTCCCTTGACTGTAACAATGTCATGGAATACATGGTCACCCACACCACCCTCAGCACTCAATGTCCAGCGTCGAGCTATCTCTGTTGTCACGGGGTCATTATCACGCTCGGCATCAAGGGCCAGAAGAGCACCGGAAAGAATCCAAGCCAAAGTAAATATAAAGCGACGACCATCAGCGACAGTCGAAGCAGGATCCTGAGTAGTGAACCGAGCACGCAAATCCAACCAGGCAGCTGTCAGGGCATTTCGCAGATCTGCACTTTGAATTAGAGTCAATGTACGGTCAAGCCATATTCCAAATAGCTTCAGATTGTCCTTCTTAATAAGGAAACGAACAGACTCGCTGGCAAGCACGTTGGTCGTACCCTCCCAGATAGAATTCACTGCGTTATTACGCATAATCCGAGAGATGTTGAACTCGGGCTCATCAGCTTCATCCATATACCCAACTCCACCCATAGATTCCTGGCATTCTTGAATTCCTGCAGTCGTCATTTTACTGATGACAGCCTTGGTAGTGGCAGTCAAGACACGGAAAACCACCGCAGCTTCCTTACCAGGTTTAGGTAGATGCGCAAGCTTGTTGGATGACGGTGTTTGATCCTCAACTATCCCAAACAAAGCAACCGTGAACCATGCAAGATTCATTCCACCCCGATGCTTTACTTCCAAGTCCGCGAGGAGTCGCAAATGCATTGGGATCAACCAGAGCGGCTCGCCAACCGTGGTCCTTGCCTTCGCAAAGTTCTTCGTAATGCTGATAGCTCGGCGCCAGCCAGCCAACGAGCCAACGAAGGTATGAAGTCGGGTGACGTTAAGAAGAGGCGCGATAGTGAGGATACCCTGATCTAGCTCGCCAAGAAGATGCGCGCGCATATCCTTCAGTTCCAATTCAGCCGTTGGCAATTCTTTGGTGCCGAGTTTGTTCTTCAGTCGGTGGATCCGGACACCATTAGAGACAACTCTGGAAACGCCGTCGGCGCCCACAACGGTCCGTCGTAATGGCGCGAGAAACGTGCTTAGCTTTCCTGATGGCGTTTTGGCGAGCAAAAGAACAACATTTGCATCTGTTGCCGAGGAGAAGAACTTGAATCCGTTGATGAGGTAGTCGCCGTCACCCAGAGGGTCGGAGCCAGAGGTGGCTAGCGGTGAGTATGTAGCCCACGTTTCGGTGTTTTGTACGTCGCTGCCACCGGCTCTCTCGGTCATCCACTGACCCGAGGTCCAGTGATCATCCTTTTCGGAGACCAGCCTCTGGAACACAGCATGGAAAGGATGCGTAGATGGTAGTTTATTGATTTTCGATGAGAGAATAAAAGCAGCGCCATCAGTCATGCTAATGGGGCAGGAGTAGAGCCCCGAAGAAGGACTGTACAAATAGTTTCTGGGATCATGGCATGAGTGATAGCGTAGAAATATCAACAAAAAAAATACTCACAGCGCATACTGAACTGTTCTCCGATCAACTCCCAGACGCTGATCGTAGCCCGCCGAGACAATCCTAATCGGGTAAAGTTAGATCATGCATGATGTCCCAAGGCCGATTTGTAGAGGATACCTATTCCGAGCACCCCATTTTCCCAGTTGCTTCCAACCTTCCGTGGTCACCAATCGATCATAATCATATCGTTTACCCCAAACATTGTGGCTCTTCACATATGGCACATTGCGCTCAGCATCGGCGCTCCATTCACGGACCTGCTCGCAAATAGCCTCGGCACCGAGCTGGGTGAGATGTGGTTGTACATATTTCAACGTAGCGGATGGTAAGTACCCTGGATGATGTTTAGATATCAGTACAACTATATATGAGTGCGAGACTCACATGCCAGTGTCCGTTGAAGACTGGGATCCGACGTGTAGGTATTCTCTAATGGGCCCGGGTCGGTGATGTAGCCGATATCTGCTGTCGCAGGCTGTGAAGAGGACATAGTGTGATTCTTACAACAAACAGAACGCTCCGAATTATATTAATGGAAGCGGTTGAAGATGCGGGGAAGATGAGCCTCGGTCACCGGTTGTCTCGTGTCTGTCTTTTAATCTCATATATTTGTCCAAACGCCGAACCCTGTTCATGCCACCTTATTAGCCTTGCAATATGAGATCATCCATGTTTTATAGTTTCTATTGGCCTGGTCCCTGGTGGTGGCAAATACCCGAAAAATAATTATCATTCGTCGGACTATTCTAGCCATTACGATCCTTCCTGAGGATATCCGGCGCGTCGTGAGAGAATCTGAGTTTTTAAATAACATCGCTTTTTCAAACAGCTGAAACCCCTCACATCTCGTGTAGTGTATTGTATCCTGTCTCAACCAAACTGCGCGGTCCTCGAGCATCAGAGCACACATGCCAGTAGAACAGGCCACCCAGTTTCGACGAGGTCACAAATTCTGCCTTCTGTTTTACTGTTTCTGGCGTATCGTATGTGACAAAACCGCCATCGGCTCCAGTACAGAATGATGCACCGATGTTCCGGTCATAGTACTCCTGTGTCCCCGGTCGGGGCAGATCGCGATAGTCAAAAACACCATCCTCGCCACCGTGTCCAGTGTACCGCTGACCAGGCCCATTGCTACCCAGGAAGGATCGCCCGTACACTGGGACACCCAAAATGATCTTTCTAGGTGACACTCCTTGACTTACGACATAAGAAACCGCCGAATCGCCAGACACACCTGAGCCATAAAGCTGCGCCTGGTGGCCCGTCTCGGGTTCCCATGGTCCAGCGAAATCGTAGGTCATGAGATTGATCATGTCAAGATACTTTTGTGCCGCGGCAAGGTCAATGTTGCGCAATGCCCACTGGCCAGCAGGGAGGGCGGTGGTGAGGACGTATCGCGGAGCGGGTAGCACATCCCGGAGGCGTGCGAGGAGACGAACATAATCTTTTCCTTGTTTGGAATCAGAGGGATGTTCCCAATCAACTGCATGGCAGATAAAGTAAGTCATATGCTTCCATGTTGTGTCATCAGAATCAAAAAGATAACCCGGGCTTACTGTCAATGCCATCAATTCCAAATTGATCCACCAGTTCCCGCGCGGTGCGAACGAAAGTGTCCACCCGAGAGCGGCTGTTGGCTACAGCAGCAAAGTTCTCACTGCCTTTTCCACCACCACCAACAGAGAGAATGACCCTCATCTTAGAGTACTGTTGTTTCAATTGGACAAAGGCTCTCAGACAACCTTCTGCGCCGTCAACGGGCATCTGGGTATCAGCCCACTCATCGCTCAACTATGACGTGGCGTCAGTAAACATTCCCACATTGGAGGACGCGCGCGTCAACTTAAACTTACATAGACAGTACCATCATCTTTCACCCTGCGAGAAACCAATTCGAGATTAGCGCGTCAGCCATCTACAAGAACTCGGGCCTTTGAACGGCGGTGATTGGCTATGTTTACCAGGCAAATGCGTAGAACACGTGAGAGATAAATCCCAAGCGTAAAGATGAGGGAGGTTCCTTTCGATAGATTCTCCAATTCGGATAGTAGGCTGCATTTGTGTACAAAGGCACTTCGTAAGAGGCGTGGGACTCGGTAGCGGGGTCACGATCCGCACCCCGTCGGCGGAAGAACCTGGAGGCTGAGAACATCGTCTAGGTGTCAAGATCAGGAGTCTCAGAGCTCTCGCATTGGAGGGGGGGAGACTAAAGCTGAACGGAGTTCCAAAAAAGGTGACCAAAGAAAGAGAAAGAATGAATTGAATAGAAAGTGCCCAAAGCAATACTAGAATGTTTCCTTTTTTGGACTCCGTCACGTGGAACCTACTTCACACACTGTGTGTATGATCAGATTTAAAGCAAATCTCACCTAAGCTCCTGGGGGGCAGTCAACATAAATGCGGGGAACGGGGGAAATACAGATTTTTCATACAGAAGTACGAATGGTCGCATGGCTAGATGCGGGGGTTCCTCGGTTGCCTACAGAGGTCAACAGTTCTAGATCGACAGACCGGATCGTCTCGGGCTATCTCCGTATGATCCTGCGGTCCGATCGAGCGGGAAATCCTGAGGCTTTCCTAAGGTACGAGTGTGGATCGTCCTGCATGAGCGATGCACCCCGTGTTTGAAAATGCAGAAACGGAGATCGTAACCCATTTTATTGCGGACGATCATGATTTGCGAAAATGCCAAGCGTCAGGCTCGTGTTGCCGGTGAGTAATATATTCTACGAAGCTAAAGATCAAACAAGGATAGGGGCTATGCAGGTTTGACATGTTGCTGATCTTTTTGCTTTTTTTGGTTTGGTTACCGGATCGCTTACAGGGGTATCTGATTCGCTGAGGGAGCTTATATGATGAGGCTGGCAAACTAGTTAGTATAGGGCAGGGATACAGGTGACCCTGGCTTTGTGCTTTGCCGAGCTGATCGAGTCAGATATTCTTACTACATTCTGTGGGGATATCGTTTGACTATGTTGTACATCGCACGAGGAAAGCCTCCAATCACTTTGGAGAACGGGTATGGAGAGGACGAATACGAAAAAAAAAAAAAATAAAGTGGTACTTTTGAGGATCAAATGCGCTCATTGAAATGAACAGTCGCAAGATGACCAATCACACAAGCCTACAACCTAATTAGCCCCGTCTAAGCCGCCTGTAGCCCCTTGGGGTTCTTCCAAGGTTGGTCGCTCCTTTGTATTTTTTCAGATAGCCTTCCTTCGGCTGCTTTCCCGACAAAAGGAGTATAATTGGGGATCATGTCGCGGATCTAAGATCGATGAGCGCAAGACTCCACGATGTCAACCTTAGGCCACAATTCATATCGGAGCTGTGCCTTGATGAAGACATCACCTATGATAGCAAAAAAGAAATTCCAGCTATAAAAAATACTTACAGAGGATGGTGAACAAGCTCATAGGAACATCCAAATACGCATGATTTGGGAAACAATCTCGATGTAGACAATATAATATGCTTGTTATCAATTTGGACCCTCGGTATCTTCATACAACACTAGAGCTTGACAGCCTTGTTCAGTTCGACCCATTTCTTCTCTCCCTCAGAACCAGACTGCGGCGGGACCAGACCATTGATCTTCCACAGGTCTCTCGACACTTCTGTGACCCAATACTCCCATTCCATTCCCTTTGGCTCAAATACCGGATTGAGGATCTCATCAACATTGGTCAAGAATCGCTGTTTGGATTCATCGCTCTTGAAGGCACGAGCAACGTGATAAATCGTCACGGCAGCAAAGTTTGAGTGAGGTTCGCCGCCAACGAATGCAGTACCGGGGATGTCCTCGGTAAAGTGAACTTGTACGTAAAATGCAGGTAGGCCGTAGGAGACGTACAGCCTAGTGATTGACTTGGCAAGTTGTTCTTTTTCAAGAGCCGTAATGGTGTTTCGACTATGTTTGATGTACCAGGCAGGCATTTTGAAAGGGAATCACTTTGTGGGAATAACTTGTTGAAAATGATTTCAAGATGGATCCTGAATAGATATGTGTTGAGCAACTTTATACATGTTGGATCCTGTTCATTCTTATACTACGTTAAAGATAATAAGCTCCCAAATAGACGTCAGGTGTTAGTGATATCAAATATTATTACGCCATCGCACTATGCTTGATCACATTTTCCTCCGTCCCATGGTCTTGATATCTCGGGGAAATAGTGTAATAGAAAAATGTCGAATAAGACAGCGAGTCGTTTGTGAAACTATAAGATTTTTGATCATTTCATCAGCCGAGGCCCCCATTTTGATTACTACACCGTGCAACTTTTCAACCGCGGAAGCTTCACAATAGTAACACTAATGATTACTGGGATACCGTTCAAAAAATGATGACGTCTCATGGAGTTGAAACTATCTTTAGAACCCGGCCAGGGTTCTATGACGTTGATTATATCATTTTGATTGTGCTAAGCTATCGATCATACCTAGGTGGATACACTTCAGCGAATTAGGTTCACTGGCAGATTACAAATTCAAACAAGGGATATAAAAGACAGCTGAGCGCAGTATTATTTTGTCCCCCTCAAATAATCAAGAATATGTCCAACGAATTGATCTTTATCACCGGAGCCAGTGGCTTCATTGGAAGCGCCACTGCAGTGGAAGCTCTCAAGGCGGGCTATCGATTGCGAATTTGCCTTCGAAGGCCATCTAAGCAGTTGGAAACCCTGCTGTCAGAGTATAATGACCAGCTTGAATTTGTTATCGTTCCAGACCTCACTGATGAGACAGCATTCGATGGCAAGTTGAACGGCGTGGACTATGTCCTTCATCTCGCATCCCCTCTTCCCCACGGGACCGACAAGCAAGCATACTTTCCCCCGGCTGTGAAAGGAACCACTGCCTTGCTGAAAGCAGCAGCAAAGGTGCCGACCATCAAGAAAGTCGTGGTTACCTCGTCCATTGCGGCCTTGATTCCGATGTCTGGCATTCCTGCTGGTGGTGTGATCAAGGGTACCTTATATCCCGCTTTTTGATCTCCAAAAATTGCATTAACACATCTCCTAGAGGACAACGATTGGGACTTTTCCGTTGACGAAAATGGAGATTTCGAGGTCCCTCAAAACCCAGCTGCAACAGCAATGCGGCTGTATATGGCCTCCAAACTTCTTGCAAACAATGCAACTTGGGAGTTTCGAGAAACGGCTAAGCCACAGTATGCATTGGTGACACTGCATCCTGCGTTTGTATACGGTCACAATCTTGTTCAGAGTTCTGCCGACGGAATCAAGATGGGGTCTAACAGTGGTTTGTGGGATCTCATTATGAAGGGCGATGCCACAAGAAGTACTGTGGGAGTGCACATTCAAGATGTGGCTGAAGCACACATTAAAGCATTGGATCCCAAAATCGTGGATGGCTCGAAGTATCTGCTGGCTGGGCCGAAGACCACGGGCCCGGAAGTTGCACGAATTGTGCGAAGACTCTACCCAGATTCTGGAGCATTGATCTCTGAAGATATCCAGTGTGTCTCGCTCCCTGTTGATACGACCAAGGCGGAGACGGAGCTTGGGATTCAATGGCGCTCATTCGAAGCGATGGTGCGGGATCTGATGGATCAGCAGCTCGGGTTCATGTAGACATGTGTCTATCAAAGTACGTGTTCATAGATCAATAACAACATTTTGAGATTTCAGCTGTATTTCCAATATCAAATAGATGATAATTGAATTGGATTCTGGGATTTAATGCTCTATTGTCCTGGTTGCTTCTAGTTTTCCATCTGTACGAAGTACTCGGTTTCTATTTCTCCTGTCTCCATTTCGGCGTATGGCCGTATATTTTCCTGTAGATTAATAGCGCCACACTCAAAAGTATTAATGTATGAATCAGGATTTTGTTTACAAGGTAATTTGTAAAGATTTAGTATGGGCTCGAGCTGTCCATGAGTTGATTCTCGGATGTTAAATGCAAACGAGCCAAACATTGTGTCGCCACCTGATTTCCAAGGGTGACAACTCGAGAACAACCTGGACAGCTCCGCAACCTTCAACAACTAAGACTTCTTTCTCAAATATCCTTCTCCGTGACAATTCGAGCTGAGATACACCGTGAATCTGCGATTTCCACTTTCTCTGTGGACCTTTCAATTTTATCCACAAAGTGGTGGACATAGTGAGTCGAATACACGCGCCTGACTCGCGACAACCACCGATCATCTCTTCATCCTCTCAACACTTCGCCCGAGCTTCATCGAGCCATGGCTGTCGACACTCAAAGTGTAGCTGCGCATATCCTATCCGCCGAGCCGACGCGCGATCCCAGCTACAATGACTTTTCTTTTACACCCTTTCTGCGCAAGAGCTTCGGCTTCGGACTCGCCAGCGATGTACCTGTCTGCAAAGCTTATAGTGAAGGACACTGTCCGTTGGGACCTGCTTGTCCAGATCGCCATCCCACTCCGTCCCGTGTGACAACCTCGACTACCACAGCATCCGGAATGGCACCATCTACAACACACGGATCGCTGGTTTGCAAACATTTCCTCAAGGGACTGTGCAAGAAAGGACTGAAATGCGAATACCTCCACGAATATAACCTTCGACGCATGCCAGAATGCCAGTCATTCTCACGGTCCGGATACTGCACCAATGGCGACGATTGCCTTTACCAACATGTCCGCGAGGAGGCACGCCTGCCACCTTGCGAGCACTACGATCGCGGATATTGCGAATTAGGACCACTATGTGCAAAGCGACACGTACGCCGGCGTCTATGTGTCTTCTATCTGGCCGGATTCTGCCCTGATGGAAAAGCGTGTGCCAATGCTCACCCTCGCTGGACGGAAAACCTACCACGGCCTACAATGCGTACTGAGAAGACGGAGGAAGAACTGGAGCACGAACGAGTTCTCATTCGTGAAGAACAAGAACGCGAAAAAGAACGGGAACGAGAATGGCGAAATGAACGTGGTCGGGGTGGTGGATTTGGGCGTGGCCGCTTCCGCGGGCGTGGAAGGGGTTAGCTGGATTCTTATTGCAAGGGTTTTTTTTGGCGACATTGCATGGCATGGAGTGAGGTGTGGCTTCAGCAAGGGGTCCACGGGCCTCTTGATTTCTTTTCATTTATGGTTCTTGCGCTAGTCCCGCGATACCCCCATTGAATTTGACGCAAAACATTCATAAAAAAATATCTCTTTACTTGAGCTCAATCGCACATTTGGTGCTACAAGGGAGACATCCCTCTCTCACCCTTGCGGTATCATGTTGCCGTCTACTACACTGGCTTCGCCTGCCAATAATAGACCTGTAGTACTGTGAAACTAAATTCATTAATATTCAGCCACCGGACCTAAGCACACCGGTGTTAGCTTACCCATCTATCTCGGAGGACCCTTATCCCAAATTATCATAAGCGATTCCATGACATCATGATAGACATGCAACTAGATAGTCTACCACTTCTTAATTCCGCTGTTGACTAAAAACAATGGAATCTCAATAGTATAACTATTAAATTACTATTTTTTACTAATGATTTAGTAACTTGTGGCCCTGAAGACCCTTGGCTAGCGCGTAATTTTCAATTTGTCAGTTCTCAGTAAGAATCACTAAGGCTAGAGCTATATCCGGGTGGGACCCATTCAGCCAATCAAATTCCATACTTGCTCTGTCATCGATGACTGATAGCCACTTTGAAGCTTCGTTGCGCTCGCTTATCATAGAGGTACCTGAGACCACATACTAATTAATATGGTGGGAGAAGTACCTAGGACATTCCTCCTGGCGGGGGGTCACGCCTTATAATAAGCTCCCCTCCCCGCCATCTCTTTCTTTCCCTCAACATTCACTCCAGAATATCCTCCCAAACCGTCATCATGGCTCCCAAGGTTGCAATTGTCTACGTACGTGTTCCAATGGCAATATACTCTTCCATATCACTAATTGTTCGTCCAGTACTCTATGTACGGCCACATCAAGGCCTTGGCCGAGGCCGAGAAGAAGGGCATTGAGTCCGCTGGTGGCCAAGCCGAGATCTTCCAGTCAGTCACATCTTTATCCTTACCTCTCACGTCATTTTATTAACATTTTCTTTCTCTAGGATCGCCGAGACCCTCAGCGAGGAAGTCTTGGGCAAGATGTACGCTCCTCCCAAGGCCGACTACCCCATTATCGAGCCCGCCGATCTCCTTGCCTTCGATGCCGTTCTGTTCGGTATCCCTACCCGTTACGGTAACTTCCCTGCTCAGTGGAAGACCTTCTGGGACAAGACTGGCGGCATTTGGGCCACTGGTGGTTTCTGGGGCAAGTACGCCGGTCTCTTCGTTTCCACCGGTACCCAGGGTGGTGGTCAAGAGTCTACCGCTCTTGCCTCCATGAGCACTCTCGCTCACCACGGCTTCATCTACGTTCCCCTGGGCTACAAGACCGTCTTCGCCCAGCTGAGCAACTTGAATGAGGTTCACGGTGGTAGCGCCTGGGGTGCTGGTACCTTCGCTGTAAGCTAACATGACACACTCTCAGTACTTTTCTCTTGCTGACTATTCCGTCTATAGGGTGCCGACGGTTCCCGTCAGCCTTCCGCCCTTGAGCTCGAGGTCGCCACCGCCCAGGGTAAGGCTTTCTACGAGACCGTTTCCAAGGTCCAGTGACTGCATGGCAGCACCGAGTCGAAGCCGGAGAGCTCGACCCCTGCTGCTGGGGGGGCCGCTCAGAAGACTGAGCAACCTGTCAAGGAGCAGCAGGGTACTCGGGAGGCCGCTCAAAAGACTGAGCAGCCTGCCAAGGAGGCAGCTAAGAAGGAGAAGAGCAATGAGGGGCCATGCGGTTTGCCCAAGAAATGTACCATTCTTTGATTGCGTCCATGTCTCTCCTTGCTTTCCTTAATTTCCAGCTGTTCTCCTAGGCGTTCTCTTAGGCGTTTGCAATTCTTATGATGAGATGATACGGAGATACCATTTTCCAATAAATGATTGTCTCTCCTTGTGAAAGATTTCTCGATTGCTTTTGCAAGACCGCATAGTAGCACGTAGATTCTCATTTCTCTCTATCCACCTATGTTGTATACATGGTTAGCCTTGTAAAATTATGCTCCCAGATACATTTCTCAAAGTACTTTTATGTATTCACACGCACCAGATAATGTTCGGCACTTGGAACCTATCCCTTTCCGTTTTGTGCTTGCATACCTAAACAGACAGACGCCTGTGTCGCGAATCTTGCTATATTTGCATTCTTCATTAGGCTCGACTTGTGACGATCTCCTTTTTGCCGGATGGTCTTCTCCCTCTGATCCTCAAGGGATGCGTTGACTGTGAGCAGTGGAGCTTCCGCCGATGGATCACTAAATGCAATGCGGGGGAAGTAGTTATAGTGCACTAGCCAAATAATTATAGTCGAAAGCATGTCCAAACAACACTACAGGGCCGTTCTTGAAAAACCTCATCATCCCGTGCATTGGCCTAAATTCGTACAAATTGTATCATCCATATGAAGGGCTCTTCTCTGTATCTACGGGGGTATGAAGCTTATAAATATAGGCTTCTTGACAGGCTAAGGTTGAGAAATGAGATAGACAATTTACACTTAGTATCTTGCAAAGACAACTTGCTAACAACACCCCCTCCAGGGCTCTTCTAGTCCTTCATCTATGGCCATTTATGTCTTGTTTACGACTATATCCGACGTTTATACCAGCGAGTACGACTTCTTAGTAGGGCTTTTAGCATTAGCCTATCTACCTATGTAGGTACTGGAATTTGGTTTTCCTTGATCTTACTTATCTCCACCACGAAAAACAGAATCGTCATGCCTGCAACTTGAACTCGCTGCCCATAATAGCGGTACATTCGAGCCTGAAATGCGCCTACTGATGACGATTCACATTTTTTGTATCTTGACAATCAACTTATTTCTCATTCACATTCCAATTGTCTTTGCTAAATACGGTAAGGTTCATCAAAGAGGAGTGGCCCGTGGACCGTGATTGCAAAAAAGGCCGAAACCCCAAGTCATAGAAGGCTAGAATCCACTGCGATTAATGCTCTATCGGACATATTTGACATTGGCAACAAATTGATATATACGCGTGATTACTACCCTGGACTATCCATGAACAGCATATAAAAAGCTGTACATGCGCCATCAAATACAATAGAAACAGTGGGAGCTCACTCAATATGATAACAGACTCCCTACGTAGTAATAGGAATCCATTAAGGTTACATTATAGTTCATCTGAGAGAGCTATAACAGTCAACTCGATTCTCAAGTTTGTTTATTGGTTGTCAAGTTTATTGCCTGCGACAAAGACCATATAGCAAACCACATTGTATTGTTTGTCACAATGTGGTTTGCTATTTTCCTAAGTTGCTCGAGTCGGACAAGCGGGTTGCGTTTCTTTTTGTACCTCTTGACTATCGATATTGGATGGTTAGCGACCTCACTTATTTCTAGGCACTGAGTGTAAATAAATTACGAATTAGAAGAGTTAGATGATCTAGAATCTAATAAACAAGTAAATATAACTAGCTGACCAAAATAAAAAGAACAACAGAAAAACAGAAAAACAGAACAAAGGCCACTCATGGTACTGCCACTAACGGGCCAATCTTCCTCTACATCTTCCTCTACACATCGCGATACTTGCTCAAATGTTGAGAAGCTAATACACCAGTTTCAATATTTACTGGCTAATAAGTATCTTTGTATCAATATTTCAACCCTATCGCTGCAAATCCACTGGCTTGAAGGCTTGTAGTCAGATATATATTATGTAGTACATTGATGCATCTGTGGCTTTGTATCAGCGGTAACGACTTTACAATTTTACCGACGCTTCACCCAAAACTCCACAATCGACCGCAGGGTGTTTTGTCAGCCAGGTACCATACCGCCCGCCAGCTGTGACGTGACCAGGGAAGCTTCGGGTCAAGCTCATTCTCACCTGTGTCTTCTTCTTCCACTATTCCATGGAAAGTGAGCTACTGCCTCTCAATATTTCTCTTCAACAGTGTTCTAGAATTCTCTCAGGGCCAAGATGGCCTCCATTCTTCTGCGATTCGAGAGTCGAAATGGCCAATTTCGGGTGACGGTCAGCCCGCAGGAACTCTTCCCATCACTTCAAAAAAAGGTAGATGTCGACCCTTGGTCAGAAGGGAACGATAGCAGGATGAGAGCCAACAGCTAATTTGGAACCTGCCATTAGATCCTAGAACACCTCCCCGCAAATGTCGAACCTTCGTCCATTACCCTCTCAAATAAACCGATCGGCACAGGTGGTGAGGAGAGACCACTAGAAGGCCTACAAGGGGTTTCGCTTCAGAAGGTTGGCCTCAAGTAAGTGGCGAACGCTATGCTGGCCTTTACGGAATGAATTACTCACGCGCCGCTCACTTGAAGGCATGGCGATAAGCTCTTTATTGGGTACCGGGAACAAGCACAACAGAATAGACCCTCGAACGGCGATATATCTGCCACTTCAGAACACCGACTCAATGGAACACCAATTCCCAAGCAACAGACAGTCCCGATCCGTGCACTGCCAAGTGTTGCCGCTCCGATGAGGAACCCGTGGGACCTAGTGCAGCAGTCACCGCTGGACAATATGCTAGACAAGAAAGATGGGAAAATCAAGCGTAGCATGGACTACAAGATGTGCAGGCACGGCCCCCGAGGCATGTGTGACTACTGCATGCCACTCGAGCCTTACGATGCGAGCAACATGGCAGAGAAGAAGATCAAGCACCTTTCTTTCCACTCATACCTGCGGAAAATCAATGCCGCGACCAACAAGCCCGAAATGGGAACCTCGTTCATGCCTCCGCTCAACGAACCATATTATCGAGTGCGAACCGACTGCCCATCGGGGCATTCGCCTTGGCCGGAGGGCATTTGCACTAAATGTCAGCCGAGTGCAATCAGTCTGCAACCCCAGGAATTCCGCATGGTAGACCATGTGGAGTTCTCATCCCCTGATTTAATCAATTCCCTCCTTGATTTCTGGCGAAAGTCAGGTTCTCAACGACTGGGCTTCTTGTATGGAACGTACGAGGAGTACACCGAAGTACCACTAGGTATCAAGGCTGTCGTGGAAGCAATCTACGAGCCCCCGCAAACGGGCGAAGTCGATGGCGTAACACTCCATGATTGGCACAACGAAAAGGAAGTGGACGAGGTAGCCCGTCTCTGTGGATTGCAGAAGGTTGGTGTCATCTTTACTGACTTGGTTGATGGCGGCCGCGGAGATGGTTCAGTGGTTTGCAAGCGGCACATCGACTCATACTTCTTGTCTTCACTCGAAATCGCCTTCGCTGCACGACTCCAGGCACAAAACCCCAAATCAACGAAATGGAGCCGGACAGGACAGTTTGGCTCAGATTTCGTAACGTGTGTGCTCAGCGGAGACGAGGCAGGTGCGATTTCTATCAGCTCGTACCAAGCATCCGTGTCTGCAGTCGAGATGGTTCGAGGAGATATCATCGAACCCTCAGCGGACCCGAGTGTGATGCTGGTACAATCGGAGTATGACGAAGATGTCGGAAGCAGGACACGATACATTCCCGAAGTGTTCTACCGACGAATTAATGAGTACGGTGCAAGTGTACAGGAAAGTGCCGAGCCGAGTTTCCCAGTGGATTTCCTACTAGTCACCCTCACCCACGGATTCCCAACAGAGTCATCCCCATTGTTCACCAACAGTCGCTTCCCTATCGAGAACCGTGAAGTTGTCGGCGAGAGCCAAGAACTTCGTCACGTTGCCCAGAAACTTATGTCCCATGGTGATCCCGATAAAGCTATCCAAGGCGTTTCTGATTTCCACATCCTGTGCTTCTTGCATGGACTCGGTACATTTAACAAGGTCAGTGTTATGTGTGCATACTTTACTGCGCGTGATGCTAACTCACATTATCGAACAGGATGAGGAGTCGCTCCTCTGCCGCGTCGCCCGAACGAAGTCCCCCGCCGAGGGCATGCAACTTGTGAATACCCCAGGATGGGCCACGTTGATGACAATTCTTCAAGAGAGTGGTGAGCGCCCCCTAAGCGCCCCTGGCCCACACCGGCCGAGCCTTCTCGTCCGGATTCCCAAGCCCGGAAACGCCGCAACCCCCCACCCTCCACCCTACCCCGGTCCATATCTCCCAGTCCCGAGAGTGACCAGCTTGCTAAGAGGTTTAAGGGAGCTAGTTTAGAGTAACGGGTTTCGTCTTTTCACCATTCGGTTTCATCGCACTCCCCCCAGGCCCTTCGGTTCAGCTATCCCCACCGCGTTGTCCTAAAAGTTACGAGTGAGGCACTAGTGGCTGTTCATCGCCCTTTTGCACTACACATTGTCGATTCGCGGACCCGAAATAAAGAGAGATTTGATGGTACGAGAATGGAAGTTAGAAGGCCATTGGGTCCGTCAGCTAGTTATAACAGACTAAAGCTCTGCCCGATATCGCTGCATTTTCGACGAATATACTCGAAATCTAGTTTGCGTCTCACGCATCTTTCGGCCCTGGGGTCTGTAGATAGACAATTCACTGATGCCCGCATATCGGGGGCTTGATTCATTAAATCTGCTTTTTTTTTAATAATATAGATATGAGGTAGAAAACTGGATTAATGTTTAGGTAGATGCTACAAACTAATAAGCCTACATATAAGTGATTTATATTTATGAGATGACATCAGGTGAGAATCTTATAGCATGACAAGTTCATTTCTCAACAACTTCACAGGTATGTACTTTTCATAGTGCACAATTACGACAAATTTCCTGCCTTCTCCAATATTGCACTACCCATCACGCCCGAATAAAGATGCCAAACTCCCAAATAAAAACAAAAAACAAAACTTACCGGCGATGATCACTCTCATTGCTCATACGCCTGAGCTTTTTGGACAAGCTCCTTCAAACGTCTTTCCAACAGCTCCCGTCCCTGTCCGGTAGTCCATACTTCATGGGGAGCATCGTCGGCAATATCCCAAGACAAAAGGTTATCTGTAATATGTGAAAGATCCTCCTGTCGCTCTTCCCACTGAGAACTCTTTCTCACTTCTTGCCCGGAGCTCACAACAACTACAGGAGCATGACCCATCTGGACATGGCGAGCAGACTTTATCTCCGGGGCAGTCATGGTGACAGCAACGAGGTTTTCCTGCAGCTTTGCTTTGATATATTTCCCAGTCTGGTAAGCCGCACGACCGATAACGCGATCCTCGCGAGAACGGCCTCGTAAAATGGCGCCGGCAAGCCGATCCAACCCCAGCGGAGAAATGATTCCACGAAGCCAAAGCAAAAACCCACGACCGGGTCGTCCAAGGTCTCCCAAGTATGCCTCGTGGAGGGGATCGATCATAAAGATGCCACGAACCTCGAGAAGATTGCGACTGGCAAATAGCCTCGAATATAGACTGCCAACTCCAGCGGAAACAACGATCCATGGACCAGTCTCGCCTTCAAGAGCTAAGGCCTCCCCTAGTACATCCGCTGACATTCCCGCAGAATGGGGCGAGGGTGCGTTGTCAGACCATCCGAATCCTGGTCGGTCCCAGTAACAGTATCTGTCGATACTGCCACGGCTGTATACATCGTCAATGAAGGGTTGCAGCGTATGTTCGACAGGTCCGTTTCCACCCTCCAGAAGGATCGTTGGTGCTTTATCGTCTGCCGTTTTGTTCCCGACACAAGCGAGATGGACTTGATAGGTATTCCCATGCACCGAGTAACGCTTACCTGGAGCTTCGAGCCCGGCGTCGAAAGCACGCAAGATCAAAGTCGCTGTGAACATGATGGTAGCGATGCCCATGACAGCTAGTAAAATGGATTCCGCGAGAACAGCAACCCACTCCAGCAGGGAGCGTCGAGTCTCTTCTCGACCAGTAAGACGCTCTTCCTCCTCCCGCTTACCCCAAGCAACCGCTTGGTTCTGGATGGCATGGTAGATAGCGATCAGAGCGACCCAGACGACAGAAGCAATCCCCACCCAACCCTCTTCAAGACGAATCCGCGGCACAGCGAGGATTATAATCATGTCCAACACAAGAAGAACGGCAAGTGTAATGGCCCATATGGTCATGGGCTTGGATGGCACTGCAAAGAACAGGAGTCCAACCACCAGGTATCCTGTCGCCAAGGTGGTGTATGAAAAGGCAAAGAAGCCCGACCCCCGTGGGTGCATCATCGGTGGGTTGACAAATATGGAGACCAGAAGGAACGTCCACCATATGAAGCTGATTGCTAAGGCAGTGGCGGACAGGCCACGCAGCGCGCGCACGCTCCATAGATTGTAGGGCGATACCTGGTTCTTGTGTTAGCTGTAAGTTGTCTTGTGCTATATAGTGTGTTTTGTTTATTAGACTCACTGCAGGATCATCTGGGTTGAGGAACCCATGATTATTATCTGCAGGAAGCAGTCTTGAGTGCTCGGTAGGCTCATGCTGATCTTGGGTGTGGGGTGGCCCCGTAGACCTAGGGTCTGTTTTGCGACCCCGGAGTGACATGGTGAAGATTAATGTCGATATTTTGATTTAGTGGGTTTCATATGAATTAAAAGAGAGGAATGTACAACGTTTTATATTTGAAGAAATAAAAGGCCTTGGTGGTACCCAGCCTTGGTATGACATCATGCATTTCTTACTGCGGAGATCTATATCTGGGATATCCAAGTAGCACTATCATTTCTTACTTTTCTGGCTTTTGTATTTTTTTGCCAGAAGATACATACGACACGCGTCTCCTTAAGAAATATACCCAAAAAAAATAGACCAAAGTGAGATGAGGTAGACGTAACTTCTAACTGATATATGATTGTCTCGAGTATTCAACCATATCTAACATTGCCCGAGCCATCTCCAAACCAGTCATCCGCAGCCAAGGACTCATCAGGCGAAGCATAGTTTATGATTGTGCTTTTCGATGTTGTGTAGGCATTGTAAGCCTCGACCCCGTTCTCGCTCCCGACTCCGCTCGCAGACTTTGAACCTCCCCATGGACTGCTAGGGTCATTTCGATGATGGGTATTCACCCAGGTAATTCCTGCATCAATCTGCTCGCACACTCGGAAAGCCTGGGGAAGGTCGAGTGTCCATACACCGGCTCCCAATCCAAACTCGCTGTCATTTGCCAATGCGATTGCTTGTTCTTCGGTGTCGAAACCAGCAACGACAATAACAGGTCCGAACGCCTCCTCGCGCCAGATAGATGTCTTTACAATACTGTTGTTTTCTTTGCTGGAAGCAAGTAGCGTTGGTTCGTAGAAATATCCCTTCTCGAAGTTGAATCCGTCAAGCGGGCTTTGAGAAACCATCCGCTTTGCACCGACGAGAGAAACTGCATTTCCTCCCTCTAGAGCGCTGTTGACTAGGCGCTCCACATTCCTCAACTGCTTCTCGGAGATAAGTGGCCCCATAGTTGATTCTGGGTTACTCGGAGCCCCAATTCGGCGTGTAATGCTCTCGATCTTGGCCTTGAGCTTGTGCAATAGCTCGTCTATGATCGAGTTTTGGGCTATAATTCGGGTGCTGGCCACACATGTCTGTCCACTTGCGATGAAGCTTCCAAAGACAATTCCGTTGACCGCCGTATCGATGTTGGCCTTCTCAAACACGATCAAGGGCGCTTTCCCACCCAACTCAGCAGTGTATTTCGCCAGATTTCCACCAACAATCTTTCCAATTGCCCTGCCGGCCTCGGTACCACCAGTCACGTCTACCTTTTTCACCAAGGGATGCTCAACCAGTGCTTTACCGGTGATAGCTCCATAGCCAGGTAAGACGCTGAACACGCCATCTGGAATTCCCGCCTCGCGAAGAATTTTGCCCAACATAAGAGTTGTCAATGGAGTCATCTCGCTAGGCTTAATTATGACACTGTTTCCAGCGGCAAGCGCCGGAGCAAGCTTCTTCACGGCGATCAACAACGGGTGATTAAACGGGGTAATCTGAACAACCACTCCGAGAGGCACTCGGTCGACAAAGTTGTGCAATTTACCCATTGTCGGCAGGACAGACCGTTCCTCAACCCTTAGCAGGGAGGCATAGTATTTAAACCATCTTGTCAAAGATGGGACCTGGGCCTTCATTTCCCGAATGACCCGACCCGTCTGCTTTGACTCGGTTGAGATGAGTTGCGGGAGGACATCGGAGAGAAGCGCTGCGCATTTATCCAGCACATCGGCACGATGATGACGACTCGCACGCGACCATACGCCAGACTTGTATGCTGCGTGGGCGGCGGAGATGGCGGTCTCGACATCTTCTGGCGAGGCTGCGTGACATCTACCAATGGTTAGACTGGGATCAAAGGGCTTCTGCAAATTAACTTACTGCGCGAAGATCTCTCCGGTTGCTGGATCTTCAATGGGAATGCTGTATACTTGTCAATGCTAGTTCGAGAGGGTTAAGATAACCATTACCCACCGGTCTGCATTCCCATCTTGCTCTTTACCGGCCAACCACAAGCGATATTCCATTTTGACAGAAAATATTTAGGTACATAAAGGATCCCTCCAAAATCAGGGGGAGTGATGTCTTTATAAATCGCGCTTATCTGGCTTATCTGCCAGTGCCCAGATGAGGGGTCAACGGTATTCGATCCGATCTCGGGGTCTTCCTGTTCCTTAAGGGACTTCACCCTCAACAGTGTCATGTTCTGTCAAATTGATTTCATTATCGTTGAACCGATATGTGTCGGGTAGGGGGCCATGTCGATCCTTTCTCCAAATTGAAATGTCGCGACCTGCACTGTTTTCGTCTTCAAACCCCCCACCATGTCTCGTTGTGACAATAATACGCCCGTTTATAAGGCTGTCAAGGCACTATCCCAGCCCATTGGAATCAGACAGGAACATATTGCCGATGAAGAAACTCTCCTGTACCTGAAACCTAAATATGACCACCGATCGCCGAATGAATATACCATCAAGAGATACTGGGACGGCTCGACCATTTTCACAGTCACTGGCCACAAATATGGCGACACCCCAGCTCGCGAATTTCGCGACTCGTCAGGACTTCCAATGTTCCAGTCTCGTGCGGCTGTTCTCGCATGGAAAAGACCACTCCGGGTACGATTACCCGGTAAGGAAGACGAAGAGCTTGTAGATTTCAGGGTCGACATGAACAAAGTCTACAGACTCACATTTCGCAATTCGATGGAGCCGAACTCCAAAAGCGAGCGCGACAGAATGGTGACGGTCGAAGTGCGAGAGACGGGCTGTTTCGCGTGGCAAGGATTCTCGGCCAGTGTTGGGGGCCAGAAAGTGGTTGATATTCGTGAGAGCATGACGATGAACAAGACACTACCCAAAGCTACCTCTCAAGGTGATGTATCCTTGATGCCACGACAAGTGCTTGAGATTCTTGTGGCTGAGGGTTTTGACTTGTCCCTAGTGAGTGCATCTTGTTTTGGTTGGTAAACAAAAACTAACTGCTCTGTTCAGGCTGCACTCATTGCCGTGTACATGGCAGATACGAGGTTCAGTACTGCACCTCCTCCCCGATTCTAAGAACTTTGGGACGTTACAAATGAACTGGTCTGGATCTAAATCTTTCCTATAATACGGGATACACAATGTTGCGAAATCTTTACACATATTTGTCGTATATGCCTCTTTGCTACCTCTGAAAGATCTATAAATACAGATAGCCCCTCTCCCCACCTGTATCTGGCTGCTGTTCTTCTCTCGTGGCTTTTATTTCTCACTTACGTATGAGAAACACGCTAATTTCAAAGCGACCATTCCTTTTCTCCAGTATATCACTGAGTATCTCATTGTTTGGCGGCCTGCGACAACAGCTAGTAGTTATCTTAGATATCTTAGATATAATCGCCTCCAAATGCCATTTTCCATTAGTCAGAAGCTCGGCCTCGCCTATGCATCTATATAGGCGAGTATGTTTGACAGGAAGGGCTATAAGCAAAAGTTTGCCACCACACCTACCGTTTTGCACGCCTATTTGCATCTGATCTATGAACTGTGATGCTTGGATAAATGTAAGTTTGACTCATAGCTCTTGGGTTGTTTGCTATTTATTTACTTCGCCCCCTCGCAGAGTTCTTCCTTTCTATACTTTACCTCATTGAAACTTATCATCCTCATCAATATCAACTTTATCAACTTTATCAATACCACAGACGACGACAGCCGATATCAATCCCAATCTCACTATGTCTGAGCAGGAGGATCTTTTTTGCAAGCTCCTGGGGAGAACCCACTCCGATGAGCTATTGAAGAGACAGCACTGCACAACTATCTCAAGTTGTGTAGTGGATAGCTCTCGTTGCCTAGCTGGAAGTGTCATTGCATCAATTAATTCGTTCCCAGTCCAGTGCCAGAGGCAACCAAAGATAAGCGACAGGCCCTGGCACTGGGCTACGAGATGGTCCGGGTGGGAGGTGGTCTTCGAGAGCTGGCATACTTGGCAGTTGTCGATTGTCTCGCCGGAGAAGTTCTTATTGATCATTATATGAGCCCAACACATAGTTATCGTGCGCAAATGGAATGCAAGATGAAGAGGCATAATGTGTGCTGACATGAAGGCGGCGGTTAAACAGAGGGTCGCAATGGAATGATGGAAAGCGGCTCGTACGATGTTATTCGACCATATCGTATCAATGATAATACAATTCTTGCTGGCCACCTAATTCATCACAATATTATGACCTCAGTATTCTACACCCTATCATTGTGGATACCGCAATGGTCACTGCAGATGCGGTGTTTCGACCTCTCCATGCGCCAAACATAGAGTTTCAGATTCGTTTTGTTATATTTGTTGGTATATATTAAAAAATATATGTACATGAAAAAAAGAAACGACGGCTGCATGATTCGAACATGCGCCTCCGAAGAGAATTGATTTCTAGTCAATCGCCTTAGACCACTCGGCCAAACCGCCCAATTGTTGAAAAAACTTGCCAGTTTTGACGTTAAGAGTGGTGACTTAAAAGAGTCAAACCTTTCATTAACCCCCTATAAATCGAAGATCCGATCGAAGTTATCTGCCTAGGCGATGTTGCATGTCAGAACATTTCGGCAAGGCCATGCGGTCAAGTGACATAAGATATCCAATCTTCGGGGCCAGATGGGCTATCGGCGTGGTTCAAATCCGGATCCTTATAATAACAGTGTCAGAAGGCAGGTGGGACTCGTAGGATTTGGGCTTATCTCCTACACACAATAGCGATATTTTGGTAGGCCATGTTCAAAGGTACGCGCGCAGCCGACAGCGGGAAGAGTCAAAGGAGGGGTGATGGGAACATAACGAGACATGTAAGAAAGTCACAGACTTTCTTGGTTGATCTGAGGCACCAAAATCGCGGAATGGTTCCCCGTCCGCGTTTGATCCTTGTGGGAGATAACAATTTATCGGTCTTCACGTTGTGGTTGGGTAAGTATAAAACCGTACGGTAATTATCATGCAAAGGTGATGGTGGCTCGATCGGGTGACTGGCCATATGCGAGTTGGATGTAGCATAGTCGATCGATCTGCTACCCCACAGGTTAGTGGGGAACTTGTGGTTCTCCCAAAGGCTGATTGGACGGTTATTTGGCTAAAGTATACAAAGGGAACATTGAAGACTCCTGTTGAAATTAAAGTACTGTATCTAGACATGCTCAATCTTCAGCGCCAGGCACTTTCACTAAAGTCTCCAAAACAAGACATTTATTATTTTTTTGGCAGAAAGTAAAAGAAATCGTGTTATACGACAAATTGTGATGATTGTATAGGCGACACGCGGTTCAGAACATCCATCTTTAGAAGTTAAGAATTGGGAAATGCAAATCCCAAGAGTGCTGCGGACAATATCCAACCACGACCAGCCGCAACCTCGTCTCTGTGCACAAGTCTTCATTTTACTTTACTAATCTTCATGGTGATATGCTTTACTACCTTGTTGATTGTTGGTCAACGCTTTGGATTTTTCCTTAGTCGAGATCTGCTGCTGAGCTTTTGCTTCGACTTGTGGAATGTCTATACCACTCGATCCTGAATCCAAGTTGCTCTGGCTCTGCCAAAGAAAGCATATGAAGAAGTCCGCGCTTCTCCAGGTTCTGACAGATTTTTTTTTCGGACAGAAATCCTCCGCTGAGTCGTGTTGTCCGATGCCACCGCTATAGCCAGGTTGCCTCTCTAATACGACAGAGCACGAAACCCCACCAAGATCTGAAACTTTTCTATAACCTGCGGATAACGCGGCCTATAACCGTACCATTGTGGGGTGGATATTTTTTCGGCTTCAGTGTCTCTCGTATCTCTCCAGTTGTTTCCTCCAGGAAGGAGGGTCTCTATGTATGCGGCCAATTCCGCAATCGTGCCATATTTATTGTGCCAACATTTGATGATTATTTCGTCAATTAACGGATCGCCATCTAACTTCGGAAATTCCATGTTCTGCAATAACCCGACAACTTTACGTCCATGCTCTTTAGGATCCTCGGTAAGACGTCGATCTCCGTAAACCTCAAAGCCGTAGTTTATGAGATAGTACAAGGAGCCCAAGGCAAATTGTTCGGTTCGAGGGCCTAGGAAACCGGAACTCCCACGTCGTCCTTAATCCTGTTCGTCGCTGTTAAGTGCTCTTCCATGCGGGGCGATGCAAGCTTCAAAATCTGACAGTCTTGGTCGGTTACGATCGAACAAAATGTTTTCGGGTCGTAGGTCGCCATGTGCGAGATTGAGCGATTCTAGAAAAGTAACGGCTTGAGCGAGGTCGTTCATCCATTCCTGTCGTAGGGATAGAGGTTCTAGTTTCTCTACTTTAGTAACCACAGCTGTTTGCTGGTCGCGAGTATGGTTATTTTTTATTCTCGAACCGAGGGTTACATCTAATGAAGCGGTTGGTAGACACAATTGTCAAACACCAATAAGGGTCGCACCTCGCATGTACTCGGGGAAGATGCCATTGCCCGCGTAGAGGAAACACTAGACTATAGAAGGGCAGGGCAGATGCCGAGAAAAGATCTCATAGATCTTGAGTTCTTTCCGAAATTGCTCTCTCTCGAAGTCGCCATATTTCGGGACCTTGACCACGATGCGAGGATGGACCTCATAGACAAAGGAGATGCCTCCTTTCCAGACCCAGTGGACATTCGGGAACTGCTGCCGGATATCCATAGTAGGAATAAAATGTAAAATGTTAGAAGAGGACGTGCAGAAAAGATTGTTGCTAAGCGTATGAGAGAGGTGAGCAGAGAGAAGAAAAGGGGGCCAAGGGAGGTTGGATAGCTGCATGAAGTTGGCTAGTTATTTAACTACGAAATTTAACAAATAGTGTTTCTGGGGCTCAGCAATGTATTGTTTAATACGACAACAATATAAGCCGTCGATTGCGTTATAATTATATGCTACTAGAAATGCTTATCAATACCTATCTACTAACAGCGGAAATCAAATACGTAGTGGTGGTTGAAACATGAAGCTATGGTTTGTCGCAATTAGTATATGTTTTGGAGATGGCGGCTCGCACGTGAAATACGTTAAGGGGGGGTTGAACCCTGGCCCTTATCTTATACCCCTCCCGTTTCTAGCCCGATTCGGCAAAAATTGAACAAAAAAGATATATGAACCGACGGCTGCATGATTCGAACATGCGCCTCCGAAGAGAATTGATTTCTAGTCAATCGCCTTAGACCACTCGGCCAAACCGCCCGGTAATTGTTGAAGACGATGGCCTGGAATGGCACTATAAAGGGATTTACAATAATTTAACAGAGATACACTATGTACCTATAGCTATTGACCTCCAAATGGTCAAACACAAAGCTCATCAAAGTTTTGACTGTACTTGCTTGCACCTCTTTAGTTTTTAGGGATAGCTTTTTATCTTCCAAAGGTTGTAAACCTTGAAAATGAGTTATGTGGTTTCGGAGAAAGCCCGCAATTCCACATTTCGCATTTACACCGCTACTAACCCAATACAATAGGTCCATTGGCACCTCTAGATGTCAATATCGTTGGGGTCACCGATACCTCCGCTGTCCCTATTCCGGATCCGACGTGCTAGCATAGAGAGAGAAAATGGCCGGCATCGTGTCCAGGGCCTGGCCTCAGCATCTAACAGTGATATCTTTAAGAGCCCGGTGTGATAATTCGAGACTGTGTGTAGGCGTCGTGAGGTATCGGGCTAGAGGAATACAATTAACTACAAAATGCGAAATGTTGATGTATGTCTGGGGTCATTATATCTGCTATTCTAAGCCCAAGGCTAAGCAGTTTAAGCGTATGTCTACATTCACACTGTCCGAGTATATATTGAGTTGTTTTTATTATTCCATTAACTAACTTTCATTTGATCTTAGACCGCTTTTTAGCCGAAGCCAAGTCTTATAGGGTTCACACTCAATTGCGTGACGTATTTCACATGCGAGCTGGACACCCCATAGCATATAATAAAAGCGATAAATTACAACATGCTATCATAACAACAATTATCTATATAAACTTCTCCTTTTCGCCTAATGCTTTTTGTATTATATCTGTGACCTGCCAGTTCTTCAACAAAAAGAGTGCATTTTATTCAGAATACTAAGCATAGAGAGAGAAGGAAAAGAAAGAAAAAGATCTACTGGGCAGGATCCTTTGTGGGATCCTGTCGCAAACAAACAAGCCAAACAGATCGTCACAATATCTAGCCCCTTGGGGGCGTTTAGGGAAATGTAGCAGATTAGCGATTGAGATATATATGTTTCTAGACTTCGGCGATGTAGTTTTCGAAACCGTGAGACTGTAAGTTTTCGATTTACTCGAAATAGATATATAGTATTTAAATGTCCCATCGATGGCCATCGAATAGGAGCGAATGCAAATAACAACATGGTTATTAAGATATAAGTGATAAGTATATCGCTTTTGATATGTGTTCTGGGGGTGTCCAGCTCGCATGTGTGTCTAGCTCGCATGTGAAATATGTTATAACATAATGATAAGTTCACTCTTGCTAGTCGGCTCCTACACCTTACGCCTAGGTAATTAACGTGCAATTTCTTAGTTCCTTGGTGTTTTAGCAGAGTTAGATAATGTATATAGGAAGTAACGTAGTTCACATTCGAGCTGCGCAGTCCAGTACACATAGTAAATCCGATAAATCAAAATTAGATATTGCAATAACGATTGTCTATAGGAACTTTCTCTTATGGCCTAGTGCTTTTTATATGATATCTAGCTAGTATATAGAGCTTATGGGAATTCAATAAATAAGTAATGGAGATATATATATTTCTGGAATCCAGCGATATATTTTTCAATACTACACACTAATGGAAGTTTTTAATCTACTTAAAATTGATATATGCTACTAAAATTGCTTATTAATGGTTATCGGCAAAAAAAAAAAAGAACAATAAAAAAACGTTGATTGCTGAGATATGTGTAGTTTATATTGCATTTACTATGGAGTTTCCGCTGCGCAGATCGCATGTGAACTACCCGCGTTAGTTATAACCAATAAGCAAAAAAAAGAGAACGACGGCTGCATGATTCGAACATGCGCCTCCGAAGAGAATTGATTTCTAGTCAATCGCCTTAGACCACTCGGCCAAACCGCCCGTATTGTTGAAGAGATTTGCCAGGAATGGCATTAAGAACGGCAGTGTTTTAAGACGCAAAGAAGATGCCTAAATCGGGCACCGAGCTGAGCGGGGACTAGAACTTAATAAGCAAATTTTCTAGTCCCTCAGGTCCCGCTAAGCTGGAACCCGGTCTAAATATTGACATAGACTTGGGCGATCCTTACGGGGTTCGCCACATGGCCCCCACGCCAGTGACAATGGAGGATTCCTTTTATTCTGGGACCCCCCTGGATCCCTCTTAATTCTACATGAATTAGTACTGGCACACAGACACAATACAGTTGCTTCCTCTCCTAGTCACTGTATCTTACCTGGTTGACAGGCTGTACACCCGAGACCAGTATATTCTTATACTATAGCGGGTAGCGGATTTTAAACCTATATTTTTTTTAACTAACCTACTTTGCTAAATACGCGAAGAAGATAAGAAACTCTTTACAGTGCTGGGAGTAAACGGCATAACCACATGCCTCCCAAACAAAAAGGAAGGATAAAACGTACTAGTATCCCCGATGTCAGATGCGAAGCGCAAGAAATTTCATTATTTAACCGAATAGAACTTAATTCCATGCATAGTAACTCACAAAAGTATGCAAGAATAGCTTGCGTTCATCAAGCACAAAACAACTGTGAATGAAGAAGCATTTTACACATACATGCCGTTATATCCGTTGTGACTGCGCTCGCCATTTCCAGTGGAGTAAGAATCCCCACTTCTCACACTACATGTACCTTTTCACCTGGGCCTTGAACGATGAAAACAGTGAAGAGTGAGTGGGTGTGTAGAATTGACCATACCACTAGCAATAATTACCGTCGGAGGACTTTATCATGAATCGAGGAAGGGGGAAGATAGGAAGATTGTACATAACTACGGTGTACCCACTTAGTTATAACATGCATGGTATGATGTCTGTCCTTGTTTGAGACCCATCTCTGTGTTTGAAAAACCCTCAAATTCTCCAGGGCAATTAGACTGCGAACTGTGGACCAATGTAAAGTATCATTTATGCAGAAGACGTCTAACTTGCATGCTCATGCTGCTATCCCTAGTAGGGCACTGTATCCGCTGCTGATTAAGTTTATGCCCTCACCGTGGGTGACAAACGAAACTGTATCCTCTGTCTCGTCGCAAATAGCGGCGACTACTCAGGTTGGCAGGCTCAGGTGGTCAACCACCGCAAATGTTGAGCCCATGGTAGTGCCAATATGGATGTGAATAGTGCCCCACCGAATACATTTCACAATTCATTTGAAGAACCGGAGGAACGCTAAGATCACATGTGCGTCGTTCTACTTTGAACCTCCTAGGACTTACTTTTAGAAGGAAAACTGCGATAAAGATGTGAATACGGATCTCGGATTTTCCTTCGATAATCTTGTTTTTGACGATGAATTGAACGTAGACTATTGAATCTTCTCTCACCCAATCGAAAGCTCGAGCAGGTCTTCTGATCCCACTTCGGGCTTTCGGTCTAGTGCTCGACTCCTGTTCTCCATCGAGTGCCTATCTAGATACTTGGATCATGGGACTAAACCTGCAGCTTGCAGGGCCTTACGCATGAACTCTTGAGGTTTAGTGCCAAATTCTAGGCAGATGACGTTTGCCCAAAACGGGGTATCCTGGACCACTCAAAGTGCCCTTACCCGTAGCACATCTTCTACAGTGACCGGCGCGTCAATTGCAGGTTAACAGTCTACGGAACACGGTACGCTGTACATGAGATATGCTGAGTCCTTCCTGGGCACATCCGTAGATCCCCCTCGAGTATGCCCAGGCGATCAGTGTAATTCATTCTATGTAATTTTGTTCAGGTTAACGTTCTATGTTCTATTTATGCCATGGCTTTCTTTCGAGCGGAGCAGGGCAGAATGCAAAGGACAAGAATGTCACGAGCCAGAGCAAAAAGAGAGAGAGAGAAAAAGAAAACAAAAAATGACCTCGGAAGGCTCAAAGGATGGGCAGCACACCGGCATTTTCGTAGGACCGTAGGGTGTCCAACCACGTCTGGTAAGTGTCATCACTACGGTTCCAGCCAAACTCGCGAGCCTTGGCAACAGTGCTGATGAATGGGATCTTCTGCGGCGATGGCGTGATTAACCAGTTCATCAACTCAAATTCGCCTAGCTGGAACGCCTCGATTTCACCACCGTACTTGGCAACGATTCTCTCCCATATCGGCTTCTTGTCCTTGGCCCACTCACCCATGTTCATAGACTTCGTCTGCTCCGTGGGGGCTTCAAACTTGTCCATCGGGACCTTGAAGTAATCGGCGAGCAAGTGCCACAGGAACTTCCAGACAATCACATCACCGTTGCAGTGGTTGAAAACCTCATCCCTGCACTGGTCCTGTGTCGCAGCCCAGACAGTGAGGTCAGCAATGCTGGGGGCGTAAGACTGGTTCTCGACTCGGTGGTAGCTGTCTAGGTTTCCTGGCCATTGGGGGGCCTCCCCGAGTTCACGGCAGATGAGGAAGTACTGGGCTATCGGAAGTGTTTCGTTGATACCGAGGTCTGTAAATCATCTATTAGTCTGATTAAAGAAGAGGCCCGGTGATTTGACCTACACTGCCAGCTGTAGCCAATGATACCCATGGGGCGGATGATGTTGTAGTTCCAAGTACTACGGCGCTTCTGGATGGCGAACAGGTCATCTTCTTGCTCGTAGTAGAAGATGTTCTCGGGACCTTCGTAGCGAGGCATGTTCTCCACGAGGGGGGTTTTGATGTCCCTGAATTGGAATCCATAATGCTGCCAACGGTCAGATCTGGTTCAATTTGTTTAAGGTTCAGCCGTACCTTTCCTCCAGTTTGCAAGACCACACGCTGCAATCTAGGGCAGGCTAGGTCTACCGACTCTAGGAAATTGCGGAACAGAGGGCCGTTCTTCACGTGGAGCTTGGAGAAGTCATTGTCGTGGACGTAGGAAGTGAAAAAGGCATGGGTAACATCCTTGCAGAGCTCCTTAATTTTGTCGACAATTTCCTCAGCCGGCTCCAGGAAGTCGAGGGCAACGAACCGAACCCTCGGGTCCGTGTAGATTGACTTAATGGGTCTCCTCGAAGTAGTGATGATCTCCGACCTTGGAACAGTGATTAGATTTTTTCCTTGAAAAGTACCGAAGCGACGAGGTTAGATTCGCTTACCATTCTCTGTGTGACTGCTTAACCAGATGATCGATAATGGCTCCCCCGCTAATACCGTTGGCGCCAGCCACAAAGGCAACTTTACGAGTTGGAAGGTGGTGGCCAAATGGGTTGCTCATGGTGGGCAAGAAATCCTAAGGATGAGATGGATGAGATGAAGAATAAAGAATGTGAAGTTATAGTCTCTTTTATAACCGTCGTTCCTATGCAGACCATGCCATTCTCATCGATAGAGGTACCATGCAGTTGTCTCATAGAAGGCATAATCGCCAAGATCCGAGAAAAGAGGAGAGGTCCCACCGAGATCCACCCGGGTGGGTCCCAGATCTCCGGGCCAATAATCACGCTCATCAGCTCCGTCAATAAGTGGATCCAGGTGCATGGAGGAGCGATGTGCATTTCTGCCAAATGTTCAACGGCTCCCACTTTTCTGGTCTTAATTTTTCTTCACCTTTCACATTTGACGACCCGTTGAAAATGACAAGGGTCCTCAAATTACTGAAGATCCTGTGTCAATGAGACCTGATATTATTTCCTCTTCTAGGAAAATCCTCGTCTATGTACCAGTGGCGTTGTTAGATAGCTTTGCTTTGTTTTTAGAATTAAGTCCTATCCATGCTGTTATAATCTCTAACTGTCCTTCCGATACACAAAGCCACTCTCTTCTACTACAACATTGCAAGGTTTTGAGACAGAACTTCATTGTAACAACTTTCTTTTAGATGACATACACTTTATAAAATACAAATAGCATCATTCGGGCTTACAACCGAATGGCCACAATCTTCGCAGGCTCCATCTTTCCAGCAACCGGTGCAAACTGCGCACCACTAGTTGTCACGTACAAAATCGAATGTTCACGATTAATAGCGACAGCAGTTGATCCCCCCACTGACAACATGAACTGGTTCCCTGCGAACAAACGAACACGCCCCCTAGGCGATACCTTGATCAACTCATTCTGGGGATTTGTCGACAGATAGGCCGTTCCATCTTTCGTCAGGATGAAGTCGTCGAACGTAAAACCGCTAGTAATGATCTCGACTGGTCCCACCGCAGTCGCGTTTCCGTCAACCGGAATGCGAGCATAGACTTCCTGGCTAGTGCTAGTGTAGTAGACAAAGCTGTTCAGCACCTTAAGTCCATTCACGCCAACTTTCACGGCCTGCCCAGCGGCAGGGAGCATTGAGGCGTGCGACAAGGCCACCGAAGATTCTCCTGTTGTGGTGTTGAGGCACCAGATTGTTCCCATTGCGGCGTCGGAAATCAAGAGCAGGTCATCGCTGAACTTGGTTATTCCATCGAGGAACTGCCCTTTGGGTAGAGGTGCTAGAACCTTAGCCTCGGGCGTTGCACCAGTAACGTTGACAGTCCAGACAACGAATGAACCCTGGGTAGGAGTGATGCTTGGAAGAGATATGTTGCCGGAAATTACCGCAAAAACATCATGATCTATTTCTGTAATGCCCATAGTACTCATAGCGTTGGGGAACCTGAACAGAAGGGTAGCTTGCCCTAGGTGGCTACTATTGCTGTTTTGCACGATTGACCAGAGCTCAGGGGTGTCGATTCGCGTGGCAAGAATGTTGCCGTTTGACCGAACAGCGAGATTTTCAAACCAACTGCCATTTCTCTCGAGCTGAAAGACTGTGGAAGCTGGCCGAGATTGGTAACCTCTGGGGTAACGTGGTGTGGCAAGGGATGTTTGTAAGAAAAGAGGCAGTGAAAGCCAAAGTACATTGAGGAAAACTTGAAAGCGCATTTTGCAGGTTTGTACAAGGAGTTGTGAACTGAGATAAAAAGAAAACGCAAAGTCCGAGTAACGATAGCACCTCGAGTTTCATTTGTACATGACTTTGGCTGTCAAGACATAGCCTCACGACAACGAAAGCTGTTTAACCTGTTCCAGCTTTTTGTTTAGTCTAACGCTTGGCTCGTTGCGGCTGTCACCATGATTATACTAGGGACCTTCCAGAATAAGAAATGTCCCGAGTCACGATGGGCTAGTCGAATTAGAAACATGTGGATGGAACAGCTCCTTGCCTATTTTGGGTGGGCGCTATGCGCAAGGTTGTGCAAAGCCAAAATGGGATAAATGCCTCGTTGATGTACACAGAAACCTTGGAAATGCCTTGAGTTCCCAGGGGCCACAATTCACCTGGCATGTTTTGTTGAAACCAATACATAGTTTCCGGGTATCCAAGGACTATTGGCTGCAAAACTCCGGGAGGGGACCATCGAGCAAATAGAGTTGGCAAGCTGACTCAGAAGTGCGCATAGAGACACGCTCGACCTTCCTGTGCTAACCCAGCTATGAATTTCACGATTGGGTACTCCGCAGCAGACGGATCCATTTGGCTTGGCACGTCATTAAGTCCACCTTGATGTGCGAGTCACCGTTGCCTCTTTCACGCATGCGGTGAGTAGGACGTGTGGGCTCCGGAGATGTACCATTCTGATCCATGTTCCCAGAGACAAACTTTACATACCTGGGGAGCTGATCCACGATTCTGGGGGCTTTTAAACCCTCCTGGGAGTACATTCGTCCATCCCGGGACCAGAAAGCTTTTGAGAGACTCTAATAAAGCTTTCACTCAGTGCCAAACCTCGGAATATCTGAGTCATATCAATCTCATAAGTACTCGACTTAATCCTTGGACGCAGAAAAATAACCTTAGGAGACAGATCAAGGTTTTTAGGAGCACCGCAGCTCCCAGGGCTAGCACATGCTTTCCGGATAAGCACCGGCTTCACAAGTTTACGGTTTCCATGTCTCCTTTTCCTGTGCCTCTATTTTGCCATAACCTACTGCCACGTGACAAAGACAGTTGGGTATGGTGTCAACCTAAGGCCGTGAAAAGCCTGAGGAATTAATAATAACGATATTAAAGAAATCAAAGTGTATCACAGGATTTCTAGCACCTAAAATGCTTACTATAAACGCCCACCCGAGCTAGTTATGTACATAAAATAGCTTAATAGGGTAATTTTTATACTTATCTTGTATAATGATGGGCGATGGGCGTCTAATTTCACAATGCCGACGGGTAGCTCCCGTTTCTAGCCCCGATTCAGCAAAAATTCAACAAAAAGGATACGTAAACCGAAGTCTGCATGATTCGAACATGCGCCTCCGAAGAGAATTGAAAGAATACTTGTGCATTACATTAAGGTATCTTCCCGCCCGGGCTGTCGTGGTATAGGGTATAACAATTCGGGTAGACTAAAGTGTCCACTTTATAGCGGATACCCACTCCCGCCCGATTGAGCAAAAATTCAACAAAAAGAATATGTGAACCGACGGCTGCATGATTCGAACATGCGCCTCCGAAGAGAATTGATTTCTAGTCAATCGCCTTAGACCACTCGGCCAAACCGCCCGGTAATTGTTGAAGAAGTCGGCCGGTAATGGTACTATAAAGGAATTCCTTATAAAATGTGCACTAAGGGAAGAATGTTGTTGATTTAATATCAGTCTAGGCAAAATATATATTATGAAAATAAGCAAAGACATATAGATAACTCGGTTAGGTTTTAATTAATTGGTCATGATATTGCTTGTCACCTAGGTAGTGTTAAGTGCTTATGATAGACATCTCTGTCCGCATTGCTTATACTGTTTGTTTTGTCCTGGTTCTGTAATCGTGCTCTCTTCCGCCCTCTCAGATCGAGGTCTGGTTATATGCCAGGTCCCTTGGGGGTTATGCTCTATTTTCGGGCGTATTTTGTGTTCTTGGGTCTTGTTAAATGCACATACAACACAAAGAGGGGTTGATATGATTTTATTGGTCAGGTACCATAAGAGTTTATCACTGTACTCTTTTCAAGAATTATCGCGGGTTCATCTAGAGACCATATTAGTGATTGAGTCGGTGTACCTTTATGTAGTTGTTGGTATAAGCTCTTATCGTATCGCCAGTTGTCTCGAAACAGAGCGAGCTATATATATTTTAGCATCGATGGTAGCTACGTGTCCTGGTTTGGTTAAGGCTGGGCCATTTCTCTTGAGTACCGCTTCAGGGTATAATGTCATATATTGGGTATGCACATGTGAGAAAAACTATATTCAATCTGATGAATTGACTATTAGATTCCAGGGGAGGGACGAGATATTGAATATTTTGCTCTATAGAAATACGCTACATCCTGTATATATCTAGCTACTTGATATTTAGGGGTGTTTGATCATGATGCGCTTGTTACCTGGAAGTGGTCGGGTCGCCGCCACAATGATTTGAAGCAGTCTCTTGGCCTGGGCTTGGTTCGAGGCTTTGTGAAGAATGGAATTATAGACATCATCCACAGTCGTTGGTAGGTTTCCTAACAGGCTCCTGACTGCTTGTCTGTCTATTCGTGGCATCTCTTCAATCATTTTGGATATCAAATCCAGCCAGAGATAAGTTCAATTCTCAGTCGCTAGTATCCCACAAAGAAGTTCTTCTCTTGTGGTTTCCCTCATAATTCGGGGACCTAATTTGGACACTCAAGCATGCACAACGTGATCCATTTCGGAGCGAAGTTACGTGGAAAGCTTTTCACTTAGCAATCGAATTTCAGGAATTCTCTCTGTGAGTTCAGAGAACTCGTTTTCGATGTTCAAATATGGACGGCTGGTCACAAGGACTTTAAGATAATCGTCGAAACCTGAGATTTCTTACGACGTTTAAGACCTTTGAGCAGTCTGATGAAATCCTTTTAGTCTTTCGCCTGGCACTTCATTGGCCAGTTTCTCGGTCGATCGTGTATACGAGTAGCCCGAGTTTTATTACATGGTGGGAACATTTGGAAGCTGACAAAGTCTATGGCGATCAACGAACTATCCCTTGCGCTTTTTGTTATCGTAGAAAGCATTATTGAAAATGTAAATCTAGTTGATTCCTAATGGTACCTGCTAATGTTATGGAAGAAGAAATCCAACGCACGAGAAAATATAATGAGGCTAAGGAATTTTGGAGAGTACATGTTGAACCAAAAAAGTGATAGAAATATAATAAAAAATACAACGTCCAGGTTAAAAATATGAGCCGAAATCTCCTTCTACTTCCATTCCCTAGATTGTCATAGGGAGTAACTAGCTATTCCTATTCTACTAATTAGTTCCTTAGGTGACAGGATAAATTTAGAAGCAAATTTTAAATATAAATACCGTATCCACGCACATCTCCAGTTCTCTTTATTTGCATGAAACGATTAGAATATTTCTTATTTTCATAATATATATTTTGCCTAGACTGATATTAAATCAACAACATTCTTTAAGTGCACATTTTATAAGGAATTCCTTTATAATACCATTACTGGCCAATTTCTTCAACAATTACCGGGCGGTTTGGCCGAGTGGTCTAAGGCGATTGACTAGAAATCAATTCTCTTCGGAGGCGCATGTTCGAATCATGCAGCCGTCGGTTCACATATTCTTTTTGTTGAATTTTTGCTGAATTTTTGCTCAATCGGGCTAGAAACGGGAGTGGGTGCTATAAAGTGGACACTCTAGTCTACCCGAATTATTATACCCTATACCACGACAGCCCGGGCGGGAAGGTACCTTAATGCAATGCACAAGTATTCTTTCAATCAAATGTATATACTAGTTGTCTATTAAATATAGAAAAAGGTGAGAGGTATATACTATAAATTAGATTGTGACATCGCCTATGGACGGGCCGGTGCCAATAGGCCTTTGTAGTAAGTAAAATTTGTATAACTAGTTAGTTACCTAGTGAAGTTACCTAGTGACTTACATTATTTAGTTATGCTAGAAATTGGGTAATTCTTAAGGCTAAATGTTTATATGCCCTAATATTATATGCTACAATTAATAGGATTAACTTAGGAGGGGTGTATAATGTATATAAATATGAAGCAATAGAGAACTGTGGTTATTAACCTCACATGCGGGAGTTTATTAATATACTACATAAGGTATGAACAAGTCGGTGAAAAGTATCTATCGTGACCTTATGCCTTGAGCTGACCATTGTGAGATTGATTTTGAAGCGCTTCAAATTGCCCATGGAGCTTGGCTGTTCTCCCAAAATCAAGTCTATTACCCACATCTGCTTTTATGATTCCAGTTGCATAGACGCCCTGTATGCACCCAGCCTAGTCACACTACGACGGCAAATTAATTCTGCATTATCTCTCGATTTGATTGGTTATTTACGTATAGCCCCACAAATTCTTGAATGAAAGCTATTTACAAAATACCAGACAAAGATCAAGACGTGGCTTTGGCAACCCCGAACCTTTGCGAGAGCACCACGAATTGACAAACACTGAACACAACTCGCAAAGACCAAGGGATCTTCTCTTGAAATGCCTTCTGCACATGCTCTTGTGTTTCTTCCCAGTCCACAAACCCAAGGGCATCCACGTTTTCCCGAGATGTCAGGCGAAGGACCAATTGATGAAGTGGCCCATTTTCCTGAAATTTCGTCGGTCCAAGGTATGGTTTCTTCTGCCGTGTATAGATTTCCTCAGTGACGAAGGGATGCACCGCCTCTCGCAAGATAAACTTCTCCGTTAGAGGTCCATCTGGCGATGAAAATTTGATTTTCAGACTGGGTGGTAGGCTGTTGACATATTCTGTTAAATAGTGGTCTAGAAATGGAGGTCTAGTTTCGACATGATGGACCATGTCGATATTGTCACCAAGATACCGAAGCATCGAGTTGCAGAAAAAGCCCTTTGTAAAGAGATACTCCGCTGTATGAAGTGGATGCCAACGGTTCGCAATAGCGTCCCGAACTCGTCCATCCAGGCTTTCTGCTTGCGCAGTCTGAGGAAGCGTGACGGCATATATGTCTGTCCATTTGGCGAAGGGCATGCGGCCGGCCATTGCCATTAACTTCAGAATTGAGGTATTGTTAAGCATTCGTTGCGTCGACTCGGGTACCCTCTTTTCATCTACGGGGATGGCCAGTGTTGTATAAGAGTCGCTGAGACTTTTTGCGACTTCTGCAATCTCTTTCTCCGATGGCGAGGGGAGCCATGAGGGATCACTTTCAAGCAAAAAATCACCCACCAATTCTTTGTATCCTCCAAAATGCTCATCAGATCCCTCCCCTATCGGCATGATTATTAGAATAAGGACGATGAAATATACTCCTAGGAAGACGGACCTGTTAATATCACTTTAATGCCGTGCGATTTGGCGACTTCGGCCATGGCAAGCCTTCCCATGCCATTTGTGTCCGGCATGGGCATTTCGCTGTGCCAAACAGTATCCTCAAATTTAGAAACAATAATATCCTCATTGACAGGAACTGGGTGGAAGTCAACACCGAGCCATTCAGCCGTACGCTGTGCAATATCTAGTAATGTTTAGCGTTCCGGTGTTGGGAGTTAAAGTATGACAAATTTCATACCAGACTCGTCCGCTCCGCTGTCCTTGTCAAATTGCACCGTGAAGCATTTGATTCGCGAAAGCAGATGGCTCCCATCATTACCAAGACGAGCTCCTTCCTCCTTGACGAGATGAGCTACCATGCCGGCCACTGCAGAGGAATCGATTCCACCACTGAGGTAGATCCCTAAAGGCACATCGGCCCTCAGGCGAACTTTGATAGCTTCCATTAGGCGGGTCCGCACGCCTTCGACCATCTCAACTTCTGATCGAAGCTCAGGTGTCCTCTAAGCCTAGTGCTTAGTGGCCAAGGCTAAGTGTTTCTAGAGAGAGTACAGAATCTCACTCACCTTGTCTGGATATTCAATATCCCAGTAAGCTGCATCTTGAATAGGCTTGAAACTTCTGCTTATAATATAATGCCCCGGGGCAACCTGGTTCTTATTAGAAATATCCAAACGTAAAAGGGAATTGCAAACAAACCGATTGGACCCCTTTGAACATTGTCCCCGCTCCAAACATCCAGCCGCGCTCCCTGAGGCTTTGAACATCCCACTCTGGCTTCCACCCAAAAGGGAGGAAGCATTTCATTTCAGTTGCTACGAGCAATCTGTTGTTCACAATCGTGTAGTAGAGCGACTTGACTCCATACCGGTCCCTTGCGCCAATGAATACCTTTCTGCGGGAATCCCACAAGATTAAAGCAAATTCGCCCCGAAGATGTGACAGGAAAGATAAACCGTAGTGCTTGTAGAGAGCCAAAACAATCTCACAGTCGCTTAGACTACGGAATTGATATTCACTACCCAGGAGTTTTCGATAGTATGCGTCATTGTAAAGTTCACCGTTAACGATCGCGTGGACGTCATTCTCGCTATCATGGAAGGGTTGATTTGCCTGGGGGCTGAGATCGACGATGGAGAGTCGAACGTGGCCCAGATCTAAAGAGGGTTCAGTATTTCGAGGGAGAGATCTTTCAGTTTAAAGGGCAAAAAGGCACATACAAACGTCACCATCATCGCTTGCCCATTCTCCACGCGCATCGGGTCCACGGTGTTGAACAAGATCTAGGCTCTTGCTGAGCTGCTCATTGATAGATGGCGAGTGTTCCCCGTTCGATTGCGCGGGGTTCGCTCCCAGTGAGAGGACGGCGCTGATCCCACACATTGTAGTTTAATCGTTTTAAACCTAGCGAGGGGGTTAAGGTAGATTGGGTATAGAGAAGGATGTACCGATTGAAGTTTTACGGGGGGAGGAAGAGCTCAAATAACACTCTTTCTCAACTGCACTGTTGTTCGTTGGGTGGAAACGTGCAGATCCCAATCTTCGGCAAAACAAATGGTCGAGTGCGGGGAACTGACGTTGTTGTCCATTCGAAAGCGCAAAGGATTTTCAAGGAGAGCAATCAGTGAGTGATATGGGCACTAGTATGTTTAATTTGAAGGGACTTAATGTTTGCTCCTGATGGCAGCACGCCTATCGACATGACAAAAATATGCGATGCAAGAAAGCAAACTACCAAATTGAGCGAAAGGGGGCCACGGGTATCATATTTGTCTGAGCATGAACCTAATTGTAGTGAGATTACGCGGCGAGAGCTGTTCACACAGATGGCCCCCAAACGGCCTTAAACCCCTCTAAGCAGGGATCGGAGATCTCGGGTGGTCATTTGTCATGTAGGTTGCTGGCTTCTATGTTAGTAGTAAACTTCGAAGAGGGCCCTATAATAGGCAAGGAGCGTCGAATCTACCCACTGAGGAACCCGAGACTTATATTCATTTTAACAGAACCTCCACCAATTTTATATCTGGCACTGCGGTTTATGAAATATATATGCATAAGTCGCATCGAACTTCAACGGAATAGAAGAGCTCTAGACTTACAATACTAATGCTCCGCTAGATAATGACTCTCCCCCTGTCATGTTACCACATAATCATCAATCGATACATATATGTATATATTCTTCTGGCCCTCTGACTAATTGCTAGCTTTTCACGCCCGCCCTTCCACGTGTTATGACGGCATTTTCCGGAAGGGCTGCTTCTCGCCGCTTGGGGGTTGGAATGATACTGCAATGTCGATAATCGAGGCTGCAAAGACTAACGAATCCACCGCCCACACCATGGAAATGAATTAGGACCCGTGATTCAATACGATAGAGATGTACAGTCCAACTCTTCGGGGACAAACTCCCTATAGCTTACCTGTTATACTATTTAATCGTTCTAGTAACATACCTATAGATAGCCCTAATCCATTTTATCTCGGATAAAAGAATTCCTTGGCGTACACTGGCCCGATAAGCTGTCTCAAACCGATTTATCAAGGGGCTTTTAAGGTGATTAATACCACCATTTTTACTACCAAAACCACGGACAATTCATTTTATCGGTTTATTTCATTAAACATCATGTCCATGGCTGAATTTTATCTCCAAAAAATCCAGATCTTGGTCGTTTGCAGCTTCCTCGTCTGCAGCCGTAGCGCGCCGAACTTCCTTTATTTGTGAATTTCAGAAACAAGTCTTCTGACACATATTTAAGCTACTGGCAGCGATGTTTTGGGACACTCCCTACATTCACGTTCGTACGCTTTACCTTGTAGATGTCAATGCTCAGCGGTTCACTCCCGTACCCGCAAACGGGACAATTCAATTGGAAGCGGAGCCATGCGGCACCAATAGGCGTAACTCGGAGCCTGCCAATATCGTTCGATTCGTGACTTAATGGGCTTTCGATTCTAATCTTACTGTTCCAAAGTCGTGGAAAGCCATTGCACCAAGTATTTGAGGATGTGGCTTACATCTAGGCCGTCGAAAATCAAGCGACCTTCGGGGGAATCATAGCTTGAACGTAACATATCATGTTCAAGTCAAGGCCTAGTCAGTAGATATTATTTTGTGTTAATATAATTGGTTACATTCCGGAGCCCCCCCGGTTTATATGGAATGTTACTTCCTACATTGACGTTGTCATCGAAATCCAAGAAAAAAAGTATTCAATCCGACGCCTAATCCAAAGAATCTTGGGGCGGGTTTGGATTGCAAGTAGCCACTTTCCTTATAACATGGTATTATAGTATCTTCAGCATTTAATGATTTTTCATTCTTTCCGAGATCACCGAAATGAGGCTTGAAGGGCTCCGAATCGTCAAGTATGATGAGGTGATTTTGATGGCTAGCCAGCTTCTGCCTGGAATACCGCAATACATTTATATGGGAGCTTTTGAGGGGCAGATGCGTGTGCGAACAATCAGGCACACCTGCAACGGGCTGTTTCGGGGCCGGCCCCGATAGGTTCCAATGTGTAATGCAACCCCCCAAAGCGTTGGAAATGCAGTAATATACACATACCAGTACATGAGGACTCACCGCACTTGGAATTATGGGCCAGTATGAGATACTGCTGCAACGTAGTATGATTTGGAACCTCAATGGTGGTGCTGTATCGCTTTCGTGACATCACGAGGCAGCAATCAGATGAAATTCACCATGTTCTTGGATGTTTTGGACATACTTAAGTCCTTCCAATTCCATAACCTAAGCGTTCTTATACAAGCTTACTTGCGCGAGTCTTCTAGCCGTTATCTAAGTTTGGCCTGAATTTGCCGACCAATACGACCCTGTTCCAGCAGCTATGGATCCAAACGCCACCCCACTGACTCCTGGGGACGTGTTTGGCTATACCGATACCAAGGGGAAATGGCCTAGGGATCCTCAACAACTCGCTGTCAACGGCATTGACAGCGGCGTATTCATCAATGAATTGGCGAACATTGAACTTTTGCCGGGGAAGCTCGAATCACTTAGTGACGGCGAGAGGAAGGCCTTCGAGAAAAACCCCGAGAACCTACATTGGAAGGCCTACAAACAAGGGCCGTCTCTGATTGAGGAAGGAACTTACCGAGGGACTCAATTGGCACTTACTAAGATCTATGATCTTATAGAACAGCGGTACTTACATCAGTCCTTTTTCGATTCTCGAAGATGGCTAATATGCTCAATAGTTTTGTATCCTTCATGGACGCAGCCAATTTTGAACCTTTGGTTCCATCGCCCCTGACTAGGGATGAGAAGAAAAAGTTCTTTGCCTTCACAGATGGCTCAGACGGTTACCCGCCCCATCTTAACCTTGCTGGAAATGTGTCAGCAGCAGAAAAGGAGAAAAGCGAGACCCAGAAATCAACACTTCAGCCATCTGCTCTTTTTAATAAGATGCGCCTGCTTCAGTTAAGCACACTATTACCTAGCGTTGTGCCTAATAAGTACATAAGAACGGCTGCTCAGACAGCCTCATGGGCTTGGTTTGGATCTATGGGTACACCCGATGCAGGGGAGAAGCTTGAAGATGTGGAGAACTACAACAAGAAAGCCCGCGGACGGTCGCATCGTGAAGATATATTCGATCTCCCTAACGTGGGCGATTTAGCAGATTGGTACAGTGATGCCCGGTTTTCCCAGCAGCATTTTACAGGGACCAATCCTACAACGATCGAACGAGCCTCAGATAGTTGGATACATCACTTTATCCAAGCCGCAAAAACACCAGAGGATGCAGCAGTCTCCTTGACCATCACTGATCTTAATAATAGCTGCAAAGAGTCTTTGTACATGCAAGATTACAGCTACTTTCGCGAGGCTGCTGGGCTGGATCCGACTGCCGTCATCAGGTGTGAGTTTGATGACCCAAACGAGAAGGACAAAAGCAAAAAGAGTTATCGCTATGGTTGCGCGTCGGTCTGTCTCTTTTATCTAAATGATGAAGGTCAGCTTTACCCGCTAGCTATTGTCATCGACTGGCGGGGCAGTGCTGAGAGATCGGTGACAATATACAACCGCGAACTGATAAAACGGAAGAACATCCGATCAGGAAGCGAAAAACATGATCAAAAGCAGAAGGTAACCGATGAGGCTCATGACTGGGCTTGGAGATACGGTAAATTATCCCACCAATTACGTCCTCTACATTGTGCGCTGACTTGTTGGTTCCGATATAGCTAAGACCTGCGTGCAATGTAGCGACTGGCTTCGACATGAAGTCACCGTCCATCTTACAAATACTCATCTAATTGAAGAGGCCATCATTGTTGCCTCTAACCGACAACTAGACCCGGGCCATCCTGTGATGAAGTTGCTCTATCCGCACTGGCAGAAGACCCTGGCACTCAATGCGGCTGCCCGAAACACGCTCGTTCCCCATGTTATTGTCGAGTTGATCGGCCTTCAAGCAAAGGAAGCCTATGCATTTATCCGCCACGCGTATACAGACTTTGACTTCAAAAAACGCTACGTCCCAACGGATCTCAGCGAACGTGGATTCCCTCCAGAGCAACTCGACCATCCGAAGTTTCACAACTACGCCTACGCTAGATGTATCCACAGCATGTGGCATAAAATCAGGAGCTATGTGGAAGAAATGCTCGCTCTAGACTACCCACAGCCTAGTGCCGATGAAAAAGTCCTGCATGACGAGCGCATTCAGGCCTGGTCTGCAGAGATGCGGAGTTCCGATGGTGCAAATTTGCCAAAATTTCCGACTATCAGCACGTTCGCGGAGCTGGTTGACTGTGTGACCATGTGTATTCACATCGCATCCCCCCAGCACACGGCTGTCAATTATCTACAAAACTACTACCAGTCATTCGTGGTCAACAAGCCTCCCTGTCTTTACGTTGAGCCCCCAACCTCTCTGGAGAGCCTGCTCAGCTACACCGAAAAACAGCTTGTCGAGGCACTTCCTATGAATCACACTCGGGAATGGCTTCTTTCTTCACATACACCCTATCTGCTCAGCTTCAAACCGGGCAATAAAGAAAGCCTGATTATCTACGCTGCTTCAAAGTTCCGAGTATATCACAACAAGACCTCGGAGAAGGACCAGGCCATCGCACGAGCGACCGGAAAGTTCTACACAGCGCTCGCTGACAGCGAAGAAGAATTCAAAGGTTACGGACAAGCGACGGATGATTGGGGGACCATCCCGTACGAGGTGTTGAGCCCAGAGTGGAATGCAGTGTCCATTTTGATTTAGCCGTGTCAGTATTACTACTATGGCTACGGTGGTTTTACTAGTGCGAATATACCCAAAATCTATCATCTTACATTCAGCAGTCACAGATGCAAAGAATACAGTAGCATCTTATACTGTGATTTAGTAGTATTAGGTTTACTATTCTGATTATTCATATTATATATTGACTAGTTATATTTTTATGGAAACGTACGTAATACACGAATGCGACACCTCGTAACTAATATTTTACTAAATAAGAGATCCGTTTCAAGAAACTACGGCCGATAACTTCCCGATATTTACACCGTATCGGATATTGGATGAAGGAAGCAAACTTTTATGGCTACATAAGTTGAACATACCAATGGTTAGTGACCAAATGGAGAGAAGAAAATCGGGAGTAGAAATCCTCACTCTGCCAATTTTTATTGTTTGCTGATAGCATGGACCGGAGGGTGGAGGGGGAGTGGAAGAGGCAATATAAGGATAGTCAGTTTCGAGAGGTAAAGGCTTCGTATAGGATCTCAAATAATGCCATTTGAATCAGTAAAGCTAGTCAAATATCACATCTCACGAATGAAAACTGCTTTATTCATCTTCAAGAATCGAATTCTTTCGTCGCATCATCAAGTGCGCTCCATTTTCCAAGGGGTGGGTTGATTTCTTCTTGATTTTTTCCAAGCTTTCATCAAATCGTTTCCAGACACCCAGGACCACCTCGATATGCTCAATATCAACCGGTTTCTTCTGGAAGCGTGCAATTGTTCGGGCGGTATGGACTGCATTTGCAATCTCTCTACCATTCATCTTGACCATCACGAAAGCCTTCATGGCCTCATCAAGATCCACAGAATTCTCTTCGCTTGGTATAGAGTTCAAAGTTTGCAGCCAGAGTTTTTCCCTGGTCTCGAGACCTGGTGGAGTATATTCGAGTGCAAGATGAATGCGAGACTTCATGGCTTTGTCAAAGGATTTGATACGATTAGTGGTGAGGAAAACGATGCCGCTAAAGTACTCGAGTTCCTTTAAAAAAACTAAATAGTTGGAGATTAGCTTTGCTTTTAGCAATTTGGATGGGTTTCTTACCAGCCACGAGAGCGTTTCGATATGAAGTGTCGCCATCGTCCTCTCGAGCCTCAAGGAAAACATCCGCTTCATCCATTAAGACAACCGCCTTCCAGGTTGTTGCATATTGCAAAAGAAGTTTGAGGCGGAATTCAAAAGCCGCGGGGCTTTTTCACGTCAGCTCTTTCTGATTTCACATGGCTGGGGAAACCGTACCTTTCCGATTTATTAAGCTCTCCTAGAGAGGTCATCATAATCGCCCTTTTTGATCCCTCGGCGGCGGTCTCAGCTGTCAATGTTTTACCAGACCCAGGTGATCCATGCAATAAAACAACCAGACCCTTTCCTTTCTGGAGGCTTTGGTCGCGTGCGTCTTCTGGGTATGAGTGAGATGTGACTAAAGACTGAAGCACGAGCTTTTCGTGATCACCAATAATCAGCGAATCCCAGGCATTCTCTTTCCATTTGACATCCTGAATGGAGTCGATAAAAAACCGGCACCATTCTTTGCGACTCAGAGAAAATCCATACTCATATGGCGGACAGCACAGCGGATCCGGGGCCTTGGCCTGAACTCTGCCTGCATTTGAATACTGGTCCTCCTGGAAGGTCTTACGGTCCAATATAACCCTTCCAAGCTCAGTATAAGGAATCCAAACAGCCTCAAATTCGGCCATCCTAGGGTGATAGTATCCGTAATCAGGTTCCTTAAGGAACTGGGCATGTCCGTCGTATGACATAGTAGCTACGCCCTGTAGTGCGAGGAACCTTTGACCGCGAGCTATGAGTCGATTTTCCAGATCCCCCTGTTCCTCGACGAATTTACGAGGAAAGCACGGGAGCTCGGTAATGATGGCCGGATTTTCGGCGGCAAAGCTTCGTTTCTGATATAACCGAAAAATATGGGAACCTTCGCCAGTGATAGTCCCATCGTGGTCTGTGTAGAGACAGTGGATTTCCATGTAAGGACCTTCCGAGGTACTTTCTTCATAGGCAGTCTTTTGACACTGCAACAACCAAGGATGGCCCATGAAATTGGTGTAAACCAGGTCTCCCGGCCGGAAAATACACCAGGCGTTGTAGAATGTAATTTGATTGTTCCGTACCATACCCAGAAGGCGCTCTCGCTCGGGTCCAATTTCATGATTCATGAAGTCGAACAACAGATTGAGATGCATGCGCTCGTCGGCATCCTTCGTCGTTTGTCGGCGTTCGTCCAATTCTTCCCAATAGTGCAGAAGGATCTGGAATGGTCCCTTGAGCTCAAAGGGAGAGGCGAAGTCTGCCGGAACAGTGGGGTAAAAGCCGATCACTTCTCGGAAGACATTCATGAGACGCCTGGAATTTATCTGTAGAGTGGTTTCTTTAAGTTGGTTCTTTTCCCCTAGGAAGCGATTGACGATCAACGCATAAGGACTGTCCTTGTCTCCAAGAGCAAGCCCGGAAAAAGGATTCGAAATGGTCTCAATAGATATAGTTCCATCTTTCTTCGGGGTATGGCGATAGACTTTGAACTCGCACTTTTCTCCACTCAGGTCTTCGGCGGCATCCATGTTACTGGACTGCATCGGTTGTGTTTGTTTTCCTGCGAGATACGCGCGGGAGATATGCGTGGTTTATGTGCCGCTCATGTCAGGGTAGTTCGCGTTATCAGGAAAGCTTATCCAAGCGAACTAAGTTATACGTAAGCTGTTTACACTGGGCAACCTGAGGCTCAAGACAGACTAAACCGCAGCCCATTGGGGATGCCAGCGAACCTAGACGGCACGGGGCTGCAGTGTGATTGCGGTCACATGCAGTACTGCCGTATCACACCTGTCATGATGCACGATTTATCCCACTATGGGCCTCTAGCGCGCGCTAGTGCTGACGGTGTGTACGAGCAGGCCAATCGAGAATAGCCATTTGTCCCGGCTTCCCCCTCAGTTTGGTTCTAACTACATTCGGGGGACGCCTCGAAGCTAGATGTGTGATAATAAATTTCCAGCCATGAATCACCCGGGTGAACTCTTTCTCCACGCGTAGAAACAAAAGCGTATGGGGCCTTGATTGGAACAAGTGATTTTGGGGTGAAATGACATACTTCTCTCAAGTTTGAGAGCCGACAGCCGCATAAGAAAGCTATCGATCTCAATTCTACTCGAGCATCGTGACGATTCAGGCCACAGCTAAATCCTGATGGCCGCTGTTACGGCGCCGAGCCCTTTGGCCCAGGCTATCGATGAGTTCCTCGATGATATGAAGGCTCGCGACCGTAAAAGTCCATTTTACAAAGAAGTATTGACATCACGGTCGGTTTTGGCGCTCAATGCAAATCCACGGGGCGTTGAATTATGTACAGAAGAACTCAGGGGCTTCGTTAAAGAGCTCGAAGAGCAGAAGAGCACATCGAAATCATTGAGAGGACTTGGAGCCCTTGGACCTTTCATCAATGGTATTGTTACTTTGATGGACGCTTGCTCCGCACTGGCACAGGCAAGTCCTTTTGCCGTTGGTGTGGCTTTATCGGGCGCTCGTTTCGTGCTCAAGGTGAGTGCCGCAAGATTGGAATTGGACAGAGTACATCGATTCTGATCCTAATTCAGCTCGCACACAACACCAATTCGATGTTTGAGCTCGTCTCCGAGACGATGGGCAAAATCGGAATGTATCTTCAGTGTTACGGCAAATTTGCCGTTGCCTATAAATCCTCTGATGAGGTACGCGAGTGTCTTGTTGCCTCATACAAGAACATCGTCAACTTCTGGGCAACGGCTTCAAAACTCCTGTCCGAGCACGGTACGCCACTGCCATAGTAATTATTTATACAAACCACTGACTGGGTGTAGTTCTCATGAGCGCGATCAAGAACATTGTGAATTCTATGACCGATGAGATAAATGTGACTGTCGAGCGTCTCAGCAAAGATTGTGCTCGAGTCCTGGCAATAACAGCGGCCGAAGAAGCAATTCTTGTCCATGATGATAGGAGGCGTAACGTTATCGAACAAGAAAGTAGGTATCAAATGCGATTACTTCAAAGCACATTACCAAGTCATTTGCTCACAAATCCATTACAGAGAAAATGAAGGATGGAATTCTCGACTGGATCAGAGCCGATGATGACCTCGACCTCCGCGGTCACTTGCAAATGTATTCTGAACGAAGGCATGCAGAGACATGCGAGTGGCTGTTTGATGAACCCGAATTCCAACGCTGGCGTGATGATCTGACCACTAATGTGTTCTGGTACAATGCGCCGCTAGGCTCTGGGAAGACGGTTCTTTCATCAGCCGTCATCGACCATTTAACGAAGAAGAGTCTTCCGACAGCATACTACTTCTACTCTTTCAGCGACTTCACTCTAAGAAAGGCCATAACAGGTCCTCGGGCCCTTGCTCTCCAGCTCCTTCACATTATGAAGACCGGAATTCCAGATTCAGTGGTGGAACTCTACCAGAGTGAAATGACACAGCATGCAAGATACATTCATATTCCGTCTGTCGCAGTGGACACAGTAAATTGCATGTTAAAGGGCTGCAGCCTTGTCTACGTGATTGTTGATGGCCTAGATGAATGCGTCGATGACCAAAGAATGCGAGATATGTTCACAAAAATTGTATCTGCTCCAGCTTACGGCACAACCAAATGGTTCTTTACCAGCCGGAATGACGAGAATATTCGAAACATGATGAAGAAACTGAATGCTGTGACATTTACTCCTAATTTATCCACCCTGTCTGCGGATATCAAACTATTCTTGTCAGACGGGCTACAGTCAATTGAGGGTGCCGCAAACCACATCGAATACTTCACTGAGAAACATATCGAAGGGAGCTTCCTTTATTCGAAATTCTTGGTTGATACCCTACAAGGGGAAGGTATCACCTGTGACGATGATATCAGTAAGGCCTTGCAAGAGTTTCCTAAAAGTCTGACTGGATACTATATTCGTACACTACTCAAGCTCTGTGAGAGACACGAACGAGAGCAAGAACTCGTGAAGTGAGTTCCACCCAAACGAAGAAATCAATGCTTCTGCAAAATGCTGATGATATTCTAGACGAGTTTTTAGGATACTGATCACTGCAGTCCAGCCTATTACTTGGAACGAGCTCTGCAACGCACTTGCTATCCGGAGCGGAGCGAAAGACCATCTGAAAGGAAATGAACCTCGGGAACAACAAATTTATTCGCTCTGCGGATCCTGGTTGCTCTTAGATTCCTCTCCTAATGACAGCAAAAATAACCAGAAGATCAGACTGGTTCATAAAACCATCCAAGATTTCCTCACCCAAAACTCTCAAGATCTTCTCATCGACCCATCCATTCGGCAGATGGAGCAGGACAATCTGGCTCGAATTCAAAAATTCTTTGTCAACTCAAACGATGCTTTTCGACAAGGTGGACGCGACTGCCTGACATTCTTAAACTACAGGCGCTATGAGTCTTTCGCTACTGCCAAGGCAATCCTGGAGGACGAGAATAACAGAGAGCACTCGTTTTTGAGATACGCGGCGGCCTTCTGGTTCATCCACTTCATGGATGGCAGTAAACACAGCAAGGAAGATTTCGAAGAGGTAAGACGTTTTCTAGAGAGCACAAACCTTTGGACCTGCGTTGCTGTACAAAGTCGAATCGTCCCATATCTTTTCGGTCACTACGCTCGAAGAGAAGCCGGCACTTACCAGATGAGTTTGCGACAAACGGGCTGGGATGAGGAGGATTCTTTCGGTGTTCCGTTACCTACATGGCTGGAACAATATCCACCCCATGGACCCGCGTTGGATCTTGATTTCTGTGCTTTCATAAACGATTGGCATGAAGTTCTCGCGTCTCGGCCGGATGTCCTTGATCAATGTGTTCCGCTGAACACCATGCAATCAAAGCTTGGGGGTGAATTCCCTCAATCGGAAAGAATTAAAGTCTGGAAGTTCAACGAAAAGCTCAATTTGAGTGACGTCTCAGAGCTTCGCCTGAATTCCATATTTCTTTCTAAGGGCAGATTGCTCGCTGACTTGATTTATCATAACCGCAATGACCCTTCAGACCTCCTTCACTGCCATCCGGTCTCAATATTCTCGAAAAGCAAGGCAACCCAAAGCACTTTTCGTCCTGTCTCCCGACTTACAGAGTTGAATTGGGAAGAAACCGCATTTCAAGTCCAAGGGTCGCCGTCAACGGTCAATATTCTGGAATATGATACAGTGTCTAGACAGCTTCGATCTACTCAAAATGGTGTCTCCAAAGCATTCTCAGCACCAAGCTCCTTGGCAGAAGCTCGCCCGAATGAGAACTGGCAAGTGAACAACAAAGACAGCAAAGCTACAGGATGGGGAATAGTGACTATTTTTCAAATTTCAAAAGAATCATTGAGGCAAGGCCCAATATGGCAATGCGATCATTCAAGTTCCGAATCGGACTCTAGCTCATCAGGGTCAGACTCAGACCCAGAATCTAGCTCAGGCACAAGCTCAAACTCCGACTCCGATTCCGACTCTGACTCTGACTCCGACTCTGCCTACCAATCTGGCTACGATGAGGGACAACACAGAGAAACTCAATCATTTGGCAAGCCAGCAGGTAAATGGATGATTATATATCACCAGTCGTATCCACCGCTCTGGATTCCTCTAGCGGACCACACCACTGTTGGAATTTCATTCGCAGTCCATCCATCTCTGCCTCTCGTTGTTATAGCTTCCACCAAGGGCCAGGCCATAATTGGCAGATTTGATACAGAAACATGGAATATTGTGGACTATCCAGATACCTCCACAGATAGAGAACCTCTTTTTCATCAAGGTTGGCTCCATGTCCTTCAGTTACAAATGTTGATATTAAGGCTGGCTAACGCTCGAATTAACAGACCTTCACTTTTCTTCGTGTGGAAAGTTCCTTTACTCCCTGGGCGCCTCATTCACAGATGGTGACGACTACTCAGAATGTCATTTGCGCTTATCTACATATTCGATTGCACCGAGCCATGGAATTTCAAACATTGAAGAAGCCCCGATACCAAAGCCCGAACTCACATATAGATTTGGGGAACGAATTGAGAGTCTCCCGCCTCATTTGCCAATTCTCGTCCACTGGAGCGAGAATGAAGTGGTCATTGCTCTGCCACCATTAACATGCGAGCCGAAACTGGTCAAGTTCGACTTACACGCGCCGAATCAGCAAGCAGTGAAAACACTACGAGATCCAATATATTTCCCCTCCTCAACCCTATCTTCGAATCCGGCTCTGTTGTACCGGCACAGATCTTCAAAAGAGCATGAAATATTTCTCTCCTTGGCACGAAAACCACCGTGTCGGTCGAACCCAAATCCGTCAGAGAGACAAGCTCCTACACCCCCTGCACCTCCTGCTATGCCCGTTGTGATGCGTTGGAAAATCCCGAATGAGAATGGATGGAAGGTGTGGGACCCCGCACGCGATGAAGAATCCACGGATCTCAAGCTAGGGGTTGACTATATTCGAATGCTGCGTGGTGGATTTGTAGACGATGAGAGGAAATTTGATGTTCCGATTAGGAGTGGACTCGACTGGACGCGAAAGGCATTCTTATCTTGTGCTTAGCGACTCCTTTCGATAGATTTAGATTGTCTATCCATCTCTTCTATATACATTGTCCCTGTAGCATGTTGAGATGATTGCTTGTATTTACTTCTCCTTCGTCAGCGAATTTCACACTGAGCCATGAAGACACTCTAGGCGTGCAGGTACAATATCATTCTAGCTCTTTATATAAATACCATTGCTAACGTTCACGGAATGACATTAACAAGGCATTGGTAGGGCCAATGATATTAGTCAGCGATAGGCTGACGACACACCGGATACGAATGGACTCGATTATCTCTACTAAATGCCATTTCGCTTGGAGGAATTATTGGCAGTGCGTGGAAAAGAAAATACGTATAACAGCCATTCATGCACCCCTCCTTTTGATCGACACAGTCGTAGTATCCACTTGAAATGAGTGACCTCCAGAAATCATTTGCCAAGTCAAAACTGGCCAAATTTCCGCCTGAAGCACCAATGCCTGAGTCAATGAGCCATCCAGAGGATGCATGGGAGGATGGCTCTTCAGCTTCCTCGGTGTCATCGACTGGGACGATGGTCCCGTCACCCACGCGACAGCTATTCGCCCGAACGGGCCGACGGTTCGTTTACCTCTCCAATTTCCAGGAGCTGAATTTGGGATCAATTGGCTATTTGAATCAGGATTATACTAACATGCGACTGCAGACAATCATCTCAAACCTCTTTATCATGGACAGACTTCTTTGACCAGGAGCTCTTTCTTTCAGAGGAAGTGGATAATCTCCATATTGTACACCATGCCTATTTAACACCACCGACTGAATCAGGCCCACTGTTTGTCATGCACCATGGGGCCGGTTCGTCTGGACTTTCCTTCGCGACCTGTGCAGAAGAGATCCGGAAGATCCTCCCAAAGGCGGGAATCTTGTCCCTGGACGCTCGAAGCCATGGCCGCACTTTCGTGACCACATTAGACAATAAGACGGACGATGAAACTCCTTCTACAGGAGCGGCAGCCCGGGCTGAATTCTCGGGGCAGGTTGAGCTCGACCTCAAGCTCGAAACTCTGAGCCGGGATCTAGTTCATGTGATTTACCAGACACAAACTAGGATGGGCTGGGAGAAGCTTCCTGATATTATCCTGGTTGGACACAGCCTGGGCGGTGCAGTGATTACAGATGTAGCGAAGAAAGGTGAACTGGGCCAGAAGCTGTTGGCATACGCGGTGTTCGACGTAGTTGAAGGTATGCTCGCTTTTTTGGTTTATGTCTATCAGATACTGATATCACTTTTTGACAGGGTCTGCAATGGATGCTCTGCAGAGCATGGAGAAATATCTCTCGACTCGTCCGACCCGATTCCCTTCCCTATTATCTGGAATCGAATGGCAGTACGTGTCTACCTCGACTGTCCTATCTTTCCCTCATGGCTAACAAATACCACAAGTACTCGCTCCCGCACAATCCGGAACACCACTTCCGCTCGCGCCTCAGTTCCATCACTCTTATATGAGGAAAGCGAGCCTAGCGACCCCGCCCGTCCTTGGGTGTGGCGCACCAACCTCTCCGCAACGAAACCTTTCTGGGAAAATTGGTTTGTTGGCTTGAGTAGAAAGTTCCTCGACGCACGAGGTGGCAAGTTACTACTGCTTGCTGGGACCGACAGACTGGATAAAGAGCTGATGATCGGACAGATGCAAGGTATGTGTTTCAAAATACTCTCTGTCCACCATCTATAATGAGGTCATTCGACATCATGCTTACTTCGGTATCACAGGCAAATATCAACTCCAGGTCTTCCCTGAAGCAGGTCACTTCGTCCATGAGGATCAGCCTGCGAAGACTGCGCAGATTCTGGCGGACTTTTACCGACGAAATGACCGGAGCGCATTGGTGCTTCCGCCCAAAGTGGCGGATATGCAGGCATCGGCGGCGATGAAGAAGGGAACAGGTGCTCCCGGTGGTTCAACGGACCACTTAAGATAGTATCTTATGATTTGTGTCGGGTGTTTGAAATGAGATATGATATCTAATAAATAGCCATCCATAGATATTAACAAACATGTGATTCTCGAGCAAATGTGTGATCTACAAAGATCTTCTTTCTCTAATGTCATTACGCCTACAATTGATGGGGTTTGGGTACTCGTATGTAGGGAAATAGAATATTATGAGAAAACGGTTTCATTTTCGAACGAGATGAGAAGATGCTTTCTCGGGCCCTGGTCAAACCAGCCACAAAGGACAGTCAGAAGTTCAGGCTTCAGCCCGAAGCTCCATATCACCCCGTTGCGACAAACATTAAAGCGAAAAAAACAGGAAAAGCAAAAAGCTGCCAGGCACGGCAAAAGTCCGTGCCTCTCCACCGACAAACACCGAGAATCGGGTTTTCGAGATTCCTAACGCCACCGGAATTCCATCACACGGAATCATCATGCGCGGATCGTGAAAAGGGATGTGATAATACAAGGAGGAGTAAGGGTATTCCGAGAGAGAGAAAAAAAAAAAAAACGCATGACGCGAAGAACAACGGACGTAAATGCCATTTAAGGCAAATAGGCACCACCAGCAACCACCAAATTCATATTGGTAAACTTGACCTTGTAGACAGGAGACTTCTTAGTCGGGAACGCGCTGATTTGGTCGGCTGTGACAACAACGTCCTTTCCCTTCTTTTTCTTGGTCTGACTCGTCGAGGGGTTTGCGCCTGCATCCAGTCTGGTTCCAGTGCCTGTTTCACCGATGACACGGCCACCCTGAGTGGTTTCCTGAGAGCCAGCAACATCCCAAACTCGCACGGTACCATCAGCTCCACCGGAGACCAGCACCGTGGACTCCACGCTCCAGCTGACAGACCAGATGCCACCCTTGCCGTGGCCACGCATGCGCTTCAGCAGTCTGCCAGGAGCCAGATCCCACAAGATGATGCAACCCTGGTCATCAGCGGATGCTAGAAGTTTTCCATCGCGGCTGCACTCCATCGCGGTGATGCTGCCAGTGTGGCCAGTGAACATGCGGACAGCATTACCAGTCGAAACAGCCCACATGCGGACAGTGTGATCAGAGCTGGCGGTGAAAATGTATGCTGAGTTGGGATGGAAGCAGACGACATCGACATCATGGTCATGACCGACGAAGATACGCTGCTGGCGGATTTGGTCGCTCACCCACAAACGAGCGGTCCGGTCAGATCCACCGGAGACAAAGTAATGACTAAAGGGCCCCCAGCTTAGGTCCCAGACAGGGCGGTCGTGACCCTTGTAGACGACCATACATTGCCAGCTATCAAGGGACCAAAGGCGAATTGTCTTGTCCATGGATGATGAAAGCAACCATCGTGCATTGGTGGCAACCTTGTCATCTCCCGAAAGGCCCTCGCGAGCAGATGCGCAGGGCTGGAATGCAACAGCAGTGACAGGACCCGAATGGCCGATAAGGCGGCGCGAGCTGGCAGGTGGCGTGTTATCAAGGTCAGGGTCAGCAGCTTGAATGTTTGTGCCATCAAGGCTCCAAATCCGAATGTATGACTGCTGGAATCCCACAGCCACAAGCTGGCTGTCATCTGAAAAGTCCATGCAAGTAACACTGTGCATTTGTTAGTAAATTTGTGCATCAAAAATACCGTTTACATAAACATACCCGTCATAAGTGTTGTGGAATGTGAACATGCACACACTAAGCCCAGGACCGACACCACCTGTGCGAGCCTTGATCTCGAACCGATCGCGATGTTCCATAACCTTCTTCACCTCAATCTGGACGTCACGGGCAGTGGACTGAGGGAAAGGAAGATCTGCACGAGTGGGTGCTTCGTCATCATCTTCATTTTTAATCATTTGATCGAACTCTTGAATGAGCGTGTTACGGCCAGCGGCAGGAGGTTGCTTCGCATCTTCTTCAGCCAGTTCAGCCCGCACATCCTCCTCTAGGAATTGTTCCATAGGAAGTTTTCCGAGTTTCAGACGGGGAAGTGTGCCGGCCATGGCCGGGTTGTCACCAGTGTAAGCCGAGCCGGGGTGGTGTCCCGGAATGCCTTCATCCTCAGCCGGGAACGTCTGGTCCGCACTCATCTGGTTCAACATGGCAGCGAAACTGAATCGGTCGTCTGCTGCTCGGTCCAAAGTTTTTACCGAGCAAAAGCTGCTGAGAATTGCGTTCATGACAGAGCCTCCCTCTTTATCCTTGCTCTCCAGGAACTGGAGAAGATTGGTGTAAGCGGGGTTGCTTAACACAACGCGATATTTGTTGTTTCGGTAAAGCTTAGCAACGGAGTTATCCTGCAGGTGCTCCGGCAAGCTGATAGGCTCAAAATGGCGGATGTCATCGGTATGCTCAGGAAGGAACATGTTCTTGTTGGTGTCAAAGAATGACTTCGCATCCTGAGGATAAAAGGAAGTGACCATATTGAAAAAAGAATAGACAAACAGCGGCCATAGAACACGCCGAAGTTCAGGCTGTGAGACTATTAGCATGGATTTATCAAGTCACTCCTTGTTTGGCGCACCTTGTACAAATCAAGATTTTCCTCCACCCAATTCTTCAGTAAATCTAGATAATGCATTAGTTGATACGCTGAGTTACATTGATTGAATCCTCAGCTCACCAAAGCCTTGTCGAGTCTTGGGGCGGGAATCCTCCCCCAGCTGGGGAAGCGGACGCCCATCAATCTCCTGGTTGGCAGACTCCATGCGCAACATTGCCTCTGTGCGACTGTAACCTTTCTTAGCCAAATAATCAATAACCTAGAAAATATGAAGAGTTAGCCGGCATTTCAAACTGAACTTATTTGAGCAAGTAAAAAAAAAAAAAAAAAATGGCAAGACAAGCAGAGCGTGGTGCGGAGTCTGAGTGGGTAAACAGACGGCCTGTTCACGTTCGCGTGTCTCCTCAACTGTGAGGGACTGCGAAGGGTTCGTGACTGGAGGCTTTGTGACTGAGGGCTTTGTGACTGAGGGCTTTGTGACTGCAGGCCTCGTGACGGGAAGCTTCGTGATGGGTGGACGGGGCACAGATGGTGCCGGAGTCACATCAGCCGCCACCAGCTTGTGTTTCTTCCGGCTCTTTTGGGTGGGCGAGGTCGGGCGGGGGTACCAGCGAGGCTGCCGGCGGCGAGCAGGCCGCCAATCCTCGTCCCGAGTTGGCATATTCGCGGTGGTTCTGATGATGTCTTGCGACGGCGGTCCGTTTTACCGCAACTGATGCGAGGATGAAAGACAAGTATGGGTTGATAGATTGATAAAGATGAATAAACCGGATGAATGATAATCGTTGGAAGTGTGAAGAATTGTTATTCGGTGAGAGCCGCGTCACATAAATGGTTGATAGTGATGTTTGCTCCGAGTTGTGGTGCCTCAGATACTCAGTTATAGACCTTGATCGACAGTCATGAGTTGCAATGGGTAATGAACAGCTGGCTACCAATGCTCTTCGAGGTCTGTGTGGACCATATTGTCGGCGTTGCATATAAACCCATGCGGTCCTTTGGCATGGACTTCCGTCACCACCCACAAGCTGCAATAACCAATGAACAGGGAACTCCAAGGCTTGTTGCATCAGTCAAATCATCCACAGCGCGGTGCGCTACCCTTGGTTTTTTCTCATGAACATCGACCACCATTAAAAGGCTGCAGCGGCTAATGAACAAGCAGCTCGAAGGCTTGTGCCATTTTCAATATTGTCGGCGTTGAGGCAGAACGCCTCAGAGTCCCCCATCATGGATCTCTATCATAATCTTCTGGGAGTATCCAGTCCAAAGGTCGCCATAGATCAAGCCTCTCAAACAGCTGACCCCGAAACACACAGGATGGACACAACGCGCAAGGAGCAAAGGGACAAAGAGTATGTGGGAGTCAAGACTTCTCAAACAACGCACAAACAAATCACAAGGGCACCTACTATTTGGTTCAAATTCTGCTGTGACATAGCACCACTTGGTGGTGCACTGGGTCCTGGAGTTGGTGTAGAATGGACGGGGGTCCCAGGTAATGGTTGCTGGGAAGGCATCATCCCACTTCCGTTTACACCTGGTCCCATGCTGCCGCTGCGCGGTCCAGGGCTTGGTGCCCCACCTGGTGCCGACATAATCGACGACTATTGACGACAACTTCGAGACAGATCCTCAAATTGTGAGGAAGGACGGCAACGGAGCAGAGCTGCAGCGTACAATGCGTATAATCGCCGGCGTATTATATGGTAGACTTGGGCGATCAGCTATCAGTGTTTCGTCTAATGTATATATTGCCCAAAGGTATCTGGGACTTCAACCGCTCAGCGATAGAATAACGGATTTGATATCTTGAATTTGATATCCCGACGAGCTGCGGGCCCGGGCTACCTCACCGCTTATTAAGATCCCCAACTTCCGGCACGTGATGTTAACCAGCAAGCTTCCCAATCTCCATTGCGATCTCTATCTCTTGTTCTTCACTAAAAAACCCAGTGAAATTAATTTCTACGGACGCAGTTATCTCACTTCTTCATACAGCCTCAAACCAGTCAACATGGGTGAAAACACGTCCCCGCAAGAGCTACCTAGCTTCACTTCTGCCGATCGCATTCGACAGCTAAATGACATGGACAAAGTACTACGGTCAATTCAATTCATGCAGGAATTATTGCTAATTTCTCCCTGTTAGGACGTTACCAAACTTCTTCATTCTGCCGGTCTCGCGATCCAAGCCTTGACCAACGCCAAACCAGACTCTTCCGTTGCACCAGATGGATCACTCGACTCACACAAAACGCGGTTCAAAGAAGCGAGTGCGAAATACTTTGCCCTTCTCTCCTCAGCCGATGTTACCCTCCGCCGCCAGATCTACTCCCTAGAGGAATCATCTCTAGTCGGACCTGAGAAAGGCTCGCGCGCAGGGGACACAAAAGCTGGAGCCAGGAACGAAGGAGTCGCAGGAGCTAAATCGCGAGCTCCAAACTCATTGGATATCAGTCGGCTCAACACCCGGAAGGATACAGTTGGGAAAGATAAGGAGGCTGAATTGTGGGCGGCTGCTCGGAAATTCGTTGAGCAGACACAGAAGCCTTCCGAGACAAGCAAGGACTCTAGGCCAGCGAATGAACCGGAGGATATGCAGGTGGATTGAACGATAAGATATCAGTTCATCCCGCGAGAGTCATCGAGTTTGCTTCATGCGTTTATGATACCCCGGGCTATCTGCTGCCATTGATTGAAATTACGAACGCGATGAGCCCCACTGGAAGATGATACACACATATGCCTACAAAGTACCAGACGCAAAATGTGTATGGACCAGTCTCCAAGCATGTTAACGGAACTAGCTATACAAAACGAAACGCAACGACAGGTATAGTTCATCGGCCTAGCCGAGCAGGTTATTTGTCGGAACTCTAGATAACTACTTCTGCATGGACATGATCATTTCCCGCTGGGTTTCCCGGTCTCTGTTCGCATCAGACAATGGACCCAAGCCTATTTTCATGTTAGTATATTGCAGCGGTATGGATATTATGTGCATCCACTTACTCCGGAGCTCGCCAACGACATCCTTCGCCTTGCCGAAGTAAACCTCCTCTGTACGTGAAAGCCTAAGTTAGCATAAAATCCCCAGACCTTTAAATGGCGACAAGAGATAGGAACATACGCAACAGATTTCGCATCTTCAACTCCATATCCTCCACCAGCCTGCCCACATTGGCGACATGGCTAGCATCCGACTCCACAGGCAGATCAACTTCCACCTGGCGAGTCATGTTCCCGCTGAGGTCCATATCACCTAGAGCCTCGGTTTTGTTGGCTAGGTGGAGGATAACGGTGCTAGTGAGTTTGTAGTGGGACATGCGAGCGCGGTCGGTGGCCTCGAAAACGTGAATGCTGTCCCATTCGCCGGAGCTCTGGGAACCTGGGGTGACACCTAATCAAAATCAATAGTTAGTCGCAATCTAAAGCATAGAAAGTAACCTGCGGTTATTCCATGACGCACCCTTCTTCAATAGAATCACGCCGGCAAATCCATCATCCAAATCCCAGAAATACACACTCCCCACGCCTCCCTCATAGTACAGCTCGCGGTAAACATCGAACGACTCGTTGGCGGCAACCTCGAGCTTGCGCACTCGCTCACTGGGCACGGTACCGTCCTCAAGCGGAGGGTCGAACTCATTGCTCCATGGTGACCGGTAGCTATCGCCGTCGCGGTTGTAGTCGCAGAGCAGGTAGTCGCGGTTGGTCTGCGGGCAGCGGCGAATCTCCAGGGGTTGGTCAACGGAGGAGAGAAGGTCTTCGGTGAGATCGGGGACGATTGAGGTGATGGCCTGCAGGTTGGTCTTGGTGTCCCGCGGGTTCAGGCGCCGAAGCAGGTCGCTGTAGATGGGTTGGTCAGCTCACTTGTCTCCGAGTGCATGACGCGGGGTTGCGTCGGGGTCTGGGATTGTCATGACGGGTATCATGGTTGGGAAGGGGTATGTAGTGCCATATTGGTTGCGAGACGGATTACTCACAGCGCGCTGTCAAATTGTGCATCAGCCATGGTTGCGAAGGTTGGTTGTATATACGTTGCTTAACGAATGGCGGTGTTGATCTTGGGCGGATGAGGTGCGTGCATATTTCGGGCTGCTTGCGTGGCAGTACATGATATCTATATCAAACTCGAGATGTCAACTTCGATAGCATCAATAAAAAGACGAGAAAAGACCACACGACTATACAGCTGCAAACATTTTCAGTCGATTTATTTTCTTTGATGATCTTTGAATAATTTGGAGTATGAAATATGCCCACTATCTGCAAGATCTTTGACAGGAGTGTTTGGAAGGCACATATTACAACCGTCTCTGGAAGTGTAAAAAGAAATTAATATAGAGTTGACACTGTACATGAAAGCCTCTCTTAAGGAGAACTAGAAGCCAGACTCATCTCTTCCTCCCACCACCCCGCAAAGACATTCAACCTCTCCGTCCGTACCCTAGCCATCTCCTTCCCTGTAGCAGTCTTCATCATACCCTCCAACTTGACCAACTTGTCCCCAAAATGCTCAATGGAATTATCCATCTCCCATTTCCCATCAACGCAGTACTTCTTCCCTACAGCTCCAAGGAAGGTAAAACACCTGCCAATTCCAATAGCCCCGATGGCATCAAGTCGGTCGGCGTCCTGGACAATCCCAAGCTCGACAAACCCATCCTCATCAACCATCCTCCGAATCAATGCCGGATCCTTGCATTCAGTCGTATAAGAAACATGTGACACGATCGTCTGCACCCGGGACGCGAGCTCTGGAGTCGCACCCCGCGCAAGGAGAGCATGCTGCACCATCGTCGTTGGGTCGAGTTCCTCGCCTGCATCCATCTTGGATAAGTACTTTCTGTCACCGATGTCATGCAACAGTGCTGCGAGTTTGACAACCGCCCCGTTGTATTGCGTTGTCGGGTGCAGTGCCCGCTCCGCTTCCAGGATTTTGTTGGCGAGCGCTCCCACTCTGTGGACATGTGCTGGATTATGCGATGGGTCGTGTCCTGACATGCAGTCTGCCACGAAAGCGGACATCTCGTTGAAGAGCGCTTGAAATTCTTGGCTGGTATCATCCATTGTGGGTCGTTTGGTCCGGTTGATGGTGGATTGGTTTTTCTTTTGGTCGATTCCACGATACAGACTAAACAGCAGCCAAGACTTATGCTAACGGTGCGATTTGGATTTTTATACTGTGTTTTTGTGGTTTTTGTATCCCTGGTGATCTGCAATATGTATATTTTGAAGAAAACGCCGGATGTTCCCCCGCAGTAAATAAGATTTGGCGGTGAATAACACTTGACTTGTTCTCTAGTGTTTAAAGCTACGGAGATAGCCCTGGGAGGCGCATTGCAATTATACGTTGCATAAAACTTTTGTCTCTGTGAAATCATGGAACCAGGTTCATATCTATAGAAGACATAGGCAGGCCCCTACATTGTCCCTGCGGGGTGCCAACTTTGCGGACTGAGTTGCAACGAAATCATTGTGGTTAGGGCCAGCATAAGGTTGATGGCTTACTACACAAGATCTTAATTGGATGCGAAAGAGAAAAAAAAGGCTTCAAATTCATATCCAATACAATATCACATAGAAGAAGCGAAATTATGTTACAAGGCTAACGGGGCTACCACATAGATCCAGATCTGGGACAGTCCCATACGACCATGACAAATTACAAGGTAGTAGACTGAAGACTAAATCAAATCTTCTCACAGGGCAAAGGCAGCAACGACCAGGCCGAAAAGACTAGCAGCGGAGGCACCGAGCTTAAAATTGGGAGCGGCGTTAGTGGTCTGCTGTGAGAAACCCGAGGAGCTGGTAGCAGTGCCCGAAGAGGAAGCACCATCGTTGCTGCTGCTGCTGTTGTTGTCATTGCTGTCATTGTTGCCGGAAGCTGAAGGCGGATGTTAGCAGAGTTCTGTATCGGAAAAAATGCATGTGGACGTACACTTGGAATCAGTACTCGACGAGTCGGAGCTAGTATGTGTGGCAGAGTTGCCGGTACCAGTGGAGGTGGCGGATGAGTGGGTTGCAGTTGCACCGCTGCCGTTACCACCCCAGAAGTGTGAGCTGTAGCACGACTGCTCACAATCGGCGTACTTTTGGGCGTCGGCCGGGGAGCCAGTACCCTGAGGGCAGGAAGAGACACAATTGTTGGTGTCATTTGCCTGGTCATCGCTGGGGCAGGGGACCTTGTAGCACTTTGCTGTGCAGCAGATATCCGTGGCTTCGCCTAGAGTTGAAGTTGGATTAGTATCAAGCCAAGGACGAGAGACCGTGAGAATGGGTAGCTTACAGCTCTTGGCGCACTCAGCCTCGGGAGTAGTGGTAATGGTTGAAGCGTTCGCGGTGGTGGTGTCTGCGGCAGCAGCGAAAGCCAACAAGGCCGAGAGGGCAAGGAGGCTGAACTTCATGTTGATACAAAGGTATCACGAGTTGATCAAATCAATGAAGGGAAAGGGCTCTGGTAAGTAGCGACAGTGTATTGTAGTAAATAGTGACAGATGTAGAGAGGGAGAAGAGCAGACAGCGAAGTATTAAATATAATTAATAACAAGCCCACAAAGCAAACGGATGTGCTTGGCCCTGGCATGGAGTTTCCCTCAACACAAATCCTAGGGACAAAAACAGGCACAATGCAGATCCCCACTCGTGAGGTCTCAAATTTAATGGTCATTGAATTTGGCGCTTGTTCCACGGACCAAGTTCATCTAGATGATACACGGCGATCACCCTGCTTCCCCGGACAAGGATATTGTGCAGAGTAATCTCCCCCTTGAAAAGGGGGTTTCTGCCTTGTCGTACATTAGGACCCTTGGGGATAGTGGACATGTCAAATTGGACAATATTGATTGACTTCGGGCATTAGCGTGTGAGTAAGGGACCAATCTATTTTTTTGCTGGAGTATATTGCCATTCCTATTGGCCCTCGGAGCTCGGCAGGGCCTTGAAAGTCATAAATAAACATAAAAGACAACCTTCAGGCTGTCGGTAGTACGGAGTAAATTGGACGCCATCATGAGGCTACTGTTTGTCAAGTAGAATATCAAAATAGAATCGAGGTTTTTATAAGGGGCAACGGGACCAGGCACATGGTCAATGTGATAGAGAAGCATACGATTTGAATTCCTCAAGCACCTATGTAGGTACCATGTACTCCGTACCTAGGTACTCCGTAATTCGTCTAGGCTCGGCCATTTGAGATATGAAGTACATTCGAAAGGTTCCGCGCTAAATAAGGCTCTAGTGCAAACTGTACAAACAGACCCCATCACATCACCTGACTACGTGACGCGACGCGAGACATGTGTACATACAATGGCAATGCCTCTCAACTATCTACGCGATGTCGACAGATTCCGAGTCAGATTACTTCAATGATGATGACTTCGTAGTCCCTGGAACCCCGGATGGGCCCTCACGTCCCGCAAAGCGCCGCCGTGTTCGAAATCGCGGGAAAGAGCGCGAAGATCAAGATGACGGTTCTTCGATCGACTCGTTCTCTGATATGGAGGACGATGGGTTACCCTCCCGGCGTCGTGAGTCACCTATTGGCTTCGAACAATACCAGGACCGCCCCAAAAATAAGAGCTGTGTCCTGAAGCAAGCCAGTGT